TGATCCCTACTACATCATACACCTGACCCCTACTAGATCATACACCTGACCCCTACTACATCATACACCTGACCCCAACTACGTTATACACCTGACCCCTATTACGTCATACACCTGACCCCTACTACATCATACACCTCACCCCTACTACGTCATACACCTCACCCCTACTACATCATACACCTGACCCCTACTACATCATACACCTAACCCCAACTACGTTATACACCTGACCCCTATTACGTCATACACCTGGCCCCTACTACATCATACACCTGACCCCTACTACATCATACACCTGACCCCTACTACATCATACACCTGACCCCAACTACGTTATACACCTGACCCCTATTACGTCATACACCTGACCCCTACTATATCATACACCTGACCCCTGCTATATCATACACCTGACCAATACTATATCATACACCTGACCCCTATTATATCATACACCTGACCCCTACTAGATCATACACCTGACCCCTACTAGATCATATACCTGACCTCTACTAGATCATACACCTGACCCCTACTACATCATACACCTGACCCCTACTAGATCATACACCTGACCCCTACTAGATCATATACCTGACCTCTACTAGATCATATACCTGACCTCTACTAGATCATACACCTTACTACTAGCATGACACGAGAGTCCACCACTTACATGAACGGGCGAGTCTCGCTGATATCTCTCCTGACTGGCGAGTCATAACCTAATGCCTACTACCAGCATGAGAGTCCACCACTTACATGAACGGGCGAGCCACAACCTAATATCTACTACCAACATGAGAGTCCACTACTTACATGAACGGGCGAGTCTCGCTGATATCTCTCCTGACTGGCGAGTCATAACCTAATGCCTACTACCAGCATGAGAGTCCACCACTTACATGAACGGGCGAGTCTCGCTGATATCTCTCCTGACTGGCGAGTCATAACCTAATGCCTACTACCAGCATGAGAGTCCACCACTTACATGAACGGGCGAGTCTCGCTGATATCTCTCCTGACTGGCGAGTCATAACCTAATGCCTACTACCAGCATGAGAGTCCACCACTTACATGAACGGGCGAGCCATAACCTAATGCCTACTACTAGCATGAGAGTCCACCACTTACATGAACGGGCGAGTCATAACCTAATGCCTACTACCAGCATGAGAGTCCACCACTTACATGAACGGGCGAGTCATAACCTAATGCCTACTACCAGCATGAGAGTCCACCACTTACATGAACGGGCGAGTCATAACCTAATGCCTACTACCAGCATGAGAGTCCACCACTTACATCAACGGGCGAGCCATAACCTAATGCCTACTACCAGCATGAGAGTCCACCACTTACATGAACGGGCGATCTCGCTGATATCTCTCCTGACTGGCGAGTCATAACCTAATGCCTACTACCAGCATGAGAGTCCACCACTTACATGAACGGGCGAGCGATAACCTAATGCCTACTACCAGCATGAGAGTCCACCACTTACATGAAGGGGCGAGTCATAACCTAATGCCTACTACCAACATGAGAGTCCACCACTTACATGAACGGGCGAGCCACAACCTAATATCTACTACCAACATGAGAGTCCACTACTTACATGAACGGGCGAGTCTCGCTGATATCTCTCCTGAATGGCGAGTCATAACCTAATGCCTACTACCAGCATGAGAGTCCACCACTTACATGAAGGGGCGAGTCATAACCTAATGCCTACTACCAGCATGAGAGTCCACCACTTACATGAAGGGGCGAGTCTCGCTGATATCTCTCCTGACTGGCGAGTCATAACCTAATGCCTACTACCAGCATGAGAGTCCACCACTTACATGAACGGGCGAGTCATAACCTAATGCCTACTACCAGCATGAGAGTCCACCACTTACATCAACGGGCGAGCCATAACCTAATGCCTACTACCAACATGAGAGTCCACCACTTACATGAACGGGCGAGCCATAACCTAATGCCTACTACCAGCATGAGAGTCCACCACTTACATGAACGGGCGAGTCTCGCTGATATCTCTCCTGACTGGCGAGTCATAACCTAATGCCTACTACCAGCATGAGAGTCCACCACTTACATGAACGGGCGAGCCACAACCTAATGCCTACTACCAGCATGAGAGTCCACCACTTACATCAACGGGCGAGCCATAACCTAATGCCTACTACCAACATGAGAATGACTCCACCACTTACATGAACGGGCGAGTCTCGCTGATATCTCTCCTGACTGGCGAGTCGGACTTGCTTATCCGTTGAGTGTTGTCTATCGCGCTGTCCATGGCGAGTGAGCTGATTTCAGACATCGTGCCGGGCTTCTAACCTCAGGGTAACGCACGTAAGGCAGCCCACAGAGCCAAGCCCACTAGGAAGTTGGTGGAAATGTACACTCAACCGGAAGTGACGTTCTTGTGTATGAGCACAGAGTTTTTTTTTAAAAGTTAGTAGTTGATAGATTTGCGGAACAATATTTAAATTTTAAATAACGTGAATAAATTCAGTTGAGAAATATAAAAACAAAAGTGAAAATTAAATAAGTATTCACTTTTATATAGCAAGTTGAGTCATAGCCATCCCACTCCCCCGGACTTTTAAGTGTCTCCCCCCTCCCCTTGGACGGTTTCATGTGCCTCCCCCCCCCCCCTTGGAAGGTTTCATGTGCACCCCCCCTTGAACGATTACATGTGCCCCCCCCCCCCCCTTGGACTGTTTCATGTGCCCCCCTCCCTTGAACGGTTTCATGTGCCCCCTCCCCTTGAACGGTTTCATGTGCCCCCCCTCCCCTTGAACGGTTTCATGTGCCCCCCCCCTTGAACGGTTTCATGTGCCCCCCCTCCCCTTGAACGGTTTCATGTGCCCCCCTCCCCTTGAACGGTTTCATGTGCCCCCCCTCCCCTTGAACGGTTTCATGTGCCCCCCTCCCCTTGAACGGTTTCATGTGCCCCCCTCCCCTTGAACGGTTTCATGTGCCGCCCCTCCCCTTGAACGGTTTCATGTGCCCCCCCCTTGAACGGTTTCATGTGCCCCCCCTCCCCTTGAACGGTTTCATGTGCCCCCCCCCTCCCCTTAAACGGTTTCATGTGCCCCCCCCCCTTGAACGGTTTCATGTGCCCCCCCTCCCCTTGAACGGTTTCATGTGCCCCCCTCCCCTTGAACGGTTTTCATGTGCCCCCCCTCCCCTTGAACGGTTTCATGTGCCCCCCTCCCCTTGAACGGTTTCATGTGCCCCCCTCCCCTTGAACGGTTTCATGTGCCCCCCCTCCCCTTGAACGGTTTCATGTGCCCCCCCTCCCCTTGAACGGTTTCATGTGCCCCCCTCCCCTTGAACGGTTTCATGTGCCCCCCCCCCTCCCCTTGAACGGTTTCATGTGCCCCCTCCCCTTGAACGGTTTCATGTGCCCCCCCTCCCCTTGAACGGTTTCATGTGCCCCCCCTCCCCTTGAACGGTTTCATGTGCCCCCCTCCCCTTGGACGGTTTCATGTGCCCCCCCTCCCCTTGAACGGTTTCATGTGCCCCCCCTCCCCTTGGACGGTTTCATGTGCCCCCCCCCCCTCCTGGAGAAAGAATGACTGGAGACTATTTACGTTTACGTCAGGGGGTAGGGGGGATACGCCTCTTCAGGTTACAGACATGGGCTGTGTACAGTAGAGTAACCAACACGGGTGGAGAGAGGTCATATTCTGCCCTCCCCCCTCAATTTTCTGCACCCCCCCCCCCCCCCGTGAATCAGGTAACCTACTGTCATTTGCAAGTTCAACATTTTAAAAACCTTTGGGCTATTAACCCCAGGCAACAAAAGAAGAAAGGGAAGTTTTGTAAGAGCTAAATGTGTTTGAACTTAGAGATCAATCACAGTAATCAAGTGAAACTCTCTGCGGTGGGTCGATCATCAATTAATTAAATGTAGGCTAAGTAGTCTCGGTAACCTACATGGTGTATATAAGGGATCTCGGAATATTCCTGTGAGTTCCATCTTAATCTGTTAAGATAAAACACACATTCCGTGATCATTATTCTCACGCATTATTTAAATGAATATATTATCTTCTAATAATGTATTAAATTTTGACACTATTTCTTCTTAGACGGTGTTTTCAAGAGTGAAAAAAATAATTTTCTTAAATGCCAAGATGTTTTCTGCCTTTTTCGCTGTTGCGTTTTGTGTCGTTTACGGGCATTGTGACGTCACATTTAAATTTGTTCGGCTCTTCTTCTGCGGAAATGACGTCAACAAGGGATGTTTAAAAATAGTTTCTGAAACAGCCAAGGACGATTGAACACAGGCGACTGTGAAGGTTTTGGTCGAGACTTGGACGGTCGTTGTCTGATTCACCGTCACTGTACTGCGTTTGTTGTCAGTTTAAAATGTGTGGGGAACTTCACGTACTACGTCAAGGATAGTGAGGTTAGAGGCTAATGCCTGATGACGTCATGTTGTGAGTTTAAAATGTGTGGGGAACTTCACTTACTACGTCAGAGATAGTGAGGTCACAGCTTTATGCTGATGGATGACGTCATATTGTGAGTTTAAAATGTGTTGGTAACTTCACGTACTACGTCAGGGATTGCGAGTTTCGTGTTTGATTATGCTGAATGACGTCAGTGTTTGTTGAGGAAGGATAAACTATATTGTTATATGACATTGAAATGAAACAATAACGTCATTTTGTAGAATAATGACCTGTCGTTATGGCACCGTTACATGATATAATGGAATTGTAATGTAACATAATGATATCGTTATATGACTTAACTAAATCGTTGTATGATATAATTACATGGTTACCTGACATATGGGTATTCTTACAAGACATAAGGAAATCGTTACATGACATAATTGAATTGTTTCATGACATAATGACATGTTTACTTGACTTAATGACATCATTATGTGACGCAATGACATATTTACATGACATAATTTCTCGTTAGAGAAATAAATAAATAACATAAAGGATAATACCACTACTTAGTGGTGACACTGCTTAGTGGTGACACTGCTTTGTGGTGCCACTACTTAGTGTTGACACTACTTAGTGGTGACAATACTAAGTGATGACACTGCTAAGTGGTGACACTGCTGTAATGCAGAGATGACCAAAGCATTAAAAAAACTAATCGAATTTTGTTATTGAAGCCACGGTTGCAATAAATTTTTAACAAGTCTGTATTTCAATGTTGCTATTATTATCTACTTGTGAATACTATAGTTGTCCTGCTAACTACAGTTTTATCTGTTTTTGTTTACATAAACAATTAATTCACGCGTGAATATATATATATATATATATCATGGAGATACGTGTAAAAGCAAATAAAAATTTAAAAAGTAAACGGTCGCTGACATACCGCAATCAACATAATGATAAAAATATAATAACACAATATCCTTTAAGTGTATTAGCAATTAAAATTAATGCTAAGAAATACGTACACGTAGATAAGTTCAATAAAAAATATTAATTTAAAGTTTTAAAAATATATTTTGACTGATTAGGGCATTGGAAACACACACACATACATATACAAATACCAACACACACATACACACACACTTAAATACATGATTAAAACCCCTGTTAGATGTTTAAGGTAAGAATTTGATAAACAAAAACAAAAACTTTTTATTTTGTTAAAATAAAAAGATTTCAATTTTTTTTTTAAACAGTTGAGTAAAGTTAGAACGAAACTGCAACCGTAGTGCAGATAGTGTAGAGTAGCCTATATGTAGCTTTAAGATTTAACGGGCCGTATCGACGATAAAGTGTTCCGTATATTGTTCTTTCAGATCTAAAGAGCCGTATTGTAGGTGGAGTAGAGTAGATGTTTCTTTCAGATCTAATGAGCTGTATAGCAGGTAGAGAAGATAATGTTGCTTTCAGAATTGAGACACGAAGGAGTTGTTGTGATTTTTCATCAAATTTCCCTTCCTTTATCTATAAATGGATCTAGTTTTATTTTTTTTTTTTGCTGAAGGGGCAATGAGGGGAGGGGGGGGGTTAAATCCACCCATAGATAATTTGCATTAAGAATAGGACATTTTATCCGATGCATCATAGACACTAAAACACATGTAAAATATTTGTTCACGTTTATAAGCCTACAGTTTCCCAAATTTACTTTTACAGTGTTGTGACATAGCCATCACTAAATCCAGCTATGCTTCCCCTCTCCTCCCCCCCCCCCACCCCCAAAGTTAAATAAAAAAATAATGCAAGTAAAGTATAAAAGTAGCTTAACATTTTTTTGTCCTATATGAAGATTCCGCCTACGATTCCTATCTAATGTCTCAGATAGAGAATCGATATCAAACAGGTGTGGATAAGGAAGACATAGCTCAAGTTATCTGACAGTTTGTGGCTACCGGAGTACACAGAAGTAGTGGTTGGGGTCAAGGTTGCGTGAGTGACACCGACGAAATTGTCCCACTTGGCCTGCCATACTTCCAATGCCGCGTTTTTCTTCTCGGAGACCAGCGAGCTGTATCTAAATATAGGACACAAATTCACATTGTTAATTGTATACAAACGTTCTAAATATAGAACACAAAATCACATTGTTAATCGTATACAAACGTTCTAAATATAGTACACAAAATTATATACAAACGTATGTTACATCTGACATAAAAACACAATATATCTGACAAAAAAAAAGCACAATACATCAAAACAGAAAAATTCAATACATAGGACATAAAAACACAATACCACCTATCTTGTTTCGTGTTTTTCTTTAGCCTTTTACGACAGTCAGTGGCGTAGCGAGGTCGGATGTCACCCGGTGCGGCACTTAATGGTGTCAACCCCAGAGGCGTAGCGACCCTTCCCGGGGACAAACTTTCAAGTTTTCGATTTGCACCCCTCCCCCTCAAACTTTCGATTTGCACCCCTCCCCCTCAAGTTTTCGATTTGCATCCCCCCCCCTCAAACTTTCGATTTGCACCCCCCCCCCCCTCAAGTTTTCGATTTGCACCCCCCTCCCCAGTGGCGGAACTAGAAAAAAAGGGCCACCCCGCTAATTAATTTTTTGGGCCCCATATATATATATATATATATATATATATATATATATATATATATATATATATATATATATATATATATATATATATATATATATATATATATATATATATATATATATACAAAATACGAAAATGCCAATATAGAGTACCCCTTTCGGGCTTGTTGGAGTTTTTAAAAATTAAAAATACTTAATTTTTAATAATTAAAAACCAGTTACAACAACACGTCAATTGTATGAGTGCTTATTAGTCTATTTTGAGAAATCTCTATTTTATATGTTTGCTATAATGCTTCCTGAAAATTCGTCGGTCAAAACAATATGAAGCATGAAAGCTTTGTATGTATAATGGTTTCTCGCTTTATGTTTATTTTCATGTTTTTTCGTTTTTATATTATTAGTTTTAAATACATTTCCTGTATATGCTTTGTTATTCTTTATTATGTATTTTTTTTAAATAATAATTAAGAGAAGTAATTGCTTTTTAATTTGTTTAGTGCAAATCTATTAAAGGGGCTTGAGAGCACACATATTTGACTATTTAAAAAAGGGAAATAAGTCATGGAAGTGGTTTGAACGTTTGCCTATCTTTCACGCGATTCACTTATTTTCAAAAGAATTTTGCCGACAACAAAGTGTGTTTGACTGTAGGAGAAAGAGGACTCGTGATGGTGTCTATAGAATAAAGATAATGAAACCTCAGCTATAGTATTTTTTTTTTACAAAACAACCATCAAGTCAAAAATGCAAGAATTTTTTTTTAACTATAAAAAAATTGATTATGGTCGGCTTCGGGCCCCTAAACGACCCGGGCCCCACCGCATTGCGGGGTCTGGCGGCACTGTAGTTCCGCCCCTGCCCCTCCCCCCTCAAACTTTCGATTTGCACCCCCCCCCCCCTTCAAGTTTTTCTCTAAATATTTTGCTATTTTTTGCCTTGGTGTCACCCCCCTAAATGGTGTCACCCGGTGCGGTCCGCACCCCCCCCCCCCTCGCTACGCCCCTGACGACAGTTCTATTATTCATATAATAATGATAATGAAGATGTGACTTGATAAGGACTGAAAGCAAACAATGCACGAATCGCTAACTTGCGACCAACCTGGGGTCTACCAGAGTAACTAATTTAACACAAATGAAGGAAGGCACGTACTTTATAGAGTTAATGGCCAACTGTTTGAGCAGGGTCAAGTCTGCTGCTTCACTGGACATGCTCATGAACGTGATGTAGAAGTCATGTGACAAGGGGGCAGCATCCCACGTGGTCCGGTCGTCAGAACTTATGACAACTGACAGATTGTTCGCCATCAGTGCAGCCATTGGGTGATTTCGAAAATCACTGACCAATCGCAGGACCTGCATATATATAGGTGTATGACTTTATATATATATATATATATATATATATATATATATATATATATATATATATATATATATATATATATATATATATATTTATATATTTATATATTTATACACACATAAATACATATATATATATATATATATATATATATATATATATATATATATATATATATATGTGTGTGTGTGTGTATGTGTATGTGTCTTTGTCTGAATGAAGCAATACATCATCAGCCAGCGGTGTCTGTAAATCTAAAGTCAGCACGACGTCATCTAATCACCTGGTTAGATATGGGCAGCACCTCCACGGCGATGTCCTTCTGCTTGACCAGCTCTAAGAAATACGGGTGTTTGGCCAGGGCGAACCCGTGTCCAATGCGAGAGGCGTTCAGGAGAATGGCGTCAGCGATGTTGTAGCCTGTCTCGGTACCCTGCCAGGCTGGTGAGGTGTGGCATAGGAATTATTGTTGGGTAGATAAAGGAATTATATACACCACAGGTTTATATATATAATTATATATATATATATATATATATATATATATATATATATATATATATATATATATATATATGTATATATATATATATATATATATCTAATATATAAAGCTCAGTTCTGTATGTAACGCATATGTTTGTCGTTGGTCTTGGATTGATTTAAGTGTTAGACAATCATCGTGCGCATTTGTCTAAATTTATGAGTTAAAAAATTACTATTGAAAGTGTTGGGAAATAATTTTCATTTTTCAAATTATAGTAATAATTGTCGGCATGTTCATTAAACACAAGTTTTAAAAAAGTATCATCTTTTACTAAAATTCTAATTATGTCTTTATTTAGTCCTATAGCACTTACTTCCCTTTGATAAATTAGGAAAACACAATTACTTCCCTTTATAAAACCATTGCATTAGTCATTAGTGGAAAATAATTTACTTTTTATTACTTTGTTTTGGTGTTGGGAAAAAAATAATTACATAATTAGCGGGGATTGATCAAGTGCAAATGTTGTAGGTATTTTACGGATAAGCTTGGAGTATTAAAATTGTTCATTACATTGAAACAGGCGCGTTCGTTTAAGTGAGTGCAAAAGACTATGAATAAGTTGGGGTACTATAGTCGTTTATTAAGCTAAAACAGGTGATTCCGCCCCGGGCGTTTATGTTCGCGTTGGTGTTTTCTTTGTGTTTAGGTGGGTTTGCGTTAGTGGTTGCGTTTTGATTTGGTTCGTTTTTGTTCTTTCTTTTTTCGTTTTTGTTTGTGTTTTTTTGTTTGGGTTTGTATTTGTGTTTTTGGTTGGTTTTGCGTTTGGATTTGGTTTGTTTTCGTTTGCTTTTTCGTTGTTTTTTTTTTTGTTGGTATTGGTGTTTGTGGTTGGGTTTGTTGTTAGGTTTTTGTTTTCGTTTGCTTTTTTGTTTGTTTTTTCTTTGTGTTTGTATTGGTGTTTGTGGTTGTGGTTGGGTTTGTTGTTAGGTTTTTGTTTTCGTTTGTATTTGTAATTGTGTTAGCGTTATGTTTGCGTTTTGTTGTTTTGGTTTTGGTTGGTTGTGGTTTGGGTGGGCAATGCCGGGTTTATGATGATTACTCAACACACAGGTAATGGTCTTTAACAGAAAGGTTTTTCACAGAAGCCAGAGCAGGGCCTGGCCGGGACGGCTAGTATATATATACGTGTTTGTGTGTTTGTGTATATAAATAAATATATATATATATATATATATATATATATATATATATATATATATATATATATATATATATATATATATATATATATATATATATATATATATATATATATATATATATATATGTATATATTGTTGTATAGTTTCATATATAGGCAAGGGTGTCAGGAGTGTAAAACCCTAACCCCCAGGACAACTGTGAAAAGATGTCTAAGGATGTCTAATGATGTCTATCGATGTCTGACGATGAATGAAAAATGTTTGATGATGTATAAAGATGTCTGATGATTCATAAATATGTCAAATAATTCACAAATGTCTAGTGATTCATGAAGATGTCTGATGATCTATGAAGGTCTGATGAGTCATGAATGTCTTATGATTCACGACAATGTCTGATGATTCATGAAGAAGTCTCACAAACACTCACGCGTCTCCCCGGCATGGAAGAAGTAGGGCAGCTTGTAGGGCGGGTCTTGTCTGGACGGGTACAGTAGAGCCTCGCTGTAGTAGGACAGGGGGTTGTAAACTGCCTCATCTCCAGACATGTCGTAGCCAGCAACCACTTCCGGGTAACTCTTGTGGAGCTCCATGATGATCTTTATCTCCTCCAGAATGTCTGACACGTTTTTGTTCCTGGTTACGATTAAATGGGTAGTCAAACACTGATGGTGGTATAAATATATCATTGCTAATTTGATAATAACTTAGTAACGATCTGAGGGTCGACGTGGTCGAGTCAGTAAAGCTCATGGTTTCTAAACCGAAAAGTCTCGAGTTCGAACTCTCGGGCAGATGAGCCAAGTTAGCTGGGGACAGCCATTCTTCTAGGAGAGACAACTCCAAAAACGTTTGTGTTTACGTTAACTGTGCCGAAAGATAAGTAATTTGATTGTGATGAACTAAATACTAGGCAAACCAGTATTTTCTTCTAGATTGCAATACCAAATATATTAACTTGTCTTTAATACGCTTTTCATTTGATAAAAGAAACGCACTTTTTAAAAAAATAAATTTGAAAAAAAAAATCTAATTCAAAAATAAAATTTATTTCTCGGGTACAAATTAGTTTTCAAGTTTTTTCAACAACGCAGAGCTTGTAGTGTTCCTTCACGATTCAATTCAAACATGGTTTTCTATCAATCGATTTCTTTAAGACCAACCACAAGCCATTACACATCACGTGACTACCTTGAACCATTACACAATGATCTTGGATCAGAGAGTATATGAGCCTACCTGTAGCCCTCTTGAATGACCTTGACCCCCACAAAATCGGGGTATTTTTTGACGAATTCTCCTACGACGTGTTTGACCAACAGAACACCAAACTCAGCGTCATGCATGATCCCGTTTAGCTCATACATCTGACATAAAAATGTAGCTTTAGCTCATACATCTGACATAAAAATGTAGCTTTAGCTCATAAATTTGAAATAAAGACACGGAGGTCGTTAAGCTCATACATCTGATATAAAACACAAATGTGTAGAGTTTAATTTAAACACAATGTTAAATCTTAATTTCCTACTAGACTACCCGTCATCCGTTGGATAACTGTGGGTTTCGGGGGTCATCCATCAAAAAACATCACGTCTGTCACTCAGAGGCATAGCGACCCTTCTCGGCGCCCGGGGACAAACTTTTCGATTTGAACCCCCCCCCCCCAAGATTTCGATTTTCAACCCCCCCCCCCCCCCACCCCCTTCAAACTTTTGATGTGCACCCCCCCCCCCCACTCAAACTTTCCATTTGAACCCCCCTCAACCTTTCAATTTATTTTTCCAAACCATTTTGGCGCCCCAACATATGTCCCCCCTCCACCTCCCCTTCCCTCCCGCCCCCCCTCCCTCCTCGCTACGCTACTGCAGTGTCACTTATCGTCACAAAAAACAGACCCCACATTCAAAAATATGTTTTTTATCTTTTAAAAACACCGAAAACAACGATTTCGGACTATCCCTTCATATATTGACGTCACAGGTGACCTACTCAACTCTACTTCACCTGCCCAGTGTCCCGCCAAGTCTCAGACAACAAAAACGATTCCAGCCAAGCATGTCTCTGACCACACTATCCCTTCATTTGCTTAGGACAAAGAAACAGATGAACCCTACTTCACGTGCCCTGTGCCCCGCAAGGTCCTGAAAGTCAACCTTATCATTCACATATAGGGCTTAAGAAAAAATAATTGAAAACGTAAAAAAAAAAAAAGTTCTATTAATGTTTATGACACTGGCTTTAAAATTTAGCCTTCATTCTCCAAAGCAAATTTTAAAATGCTTTTCTGGCATATCTAGCCCTGGCCACCTATACCATGTTTAAATAATGTGAACACCCGCCATTTTGCTAGTGGTAAACATGGCCTAAAAATGGTAGGAAGTCATTCGTCCGGTCCGTACGCCATATTGTTGTTAGCAGCCGACCACGCCTCCAAGTTAGTGAGTAATCCTACTATATCTAGATATAAAACCTAGATAACAAAAAAATCCCATGTATTCTCGAATTAGATGATCATTGAAGCTAAACAAAGATTTATATAAAATAATTAAGGCCCGAAATAGATTCTAGATGTAGAATTTACATTAAGTCTAGATCTAGAATTTACATTGAGTCTAGTGACCTAGATCTAGATCTAGATCTAGAATCTAGGCCCTAGGCTAGATTCTCGACAGCTGATCTTTAGATCTAGAGAAATTTATCGTAAAACTAAATGAAAAAGACAGTTGAAAATTGATATAAGTGTTGGAACGTAATAAATACAGCAAACGGACGTATTGTTAAAGTTATGACCGACAGAAAATTAGATTTAGAACGCGTTAAACTTTTGAATGGGAACACAATTTTCTTCAATAGACGCCGCCATTTTATTGTACTAAAGAGTAAACAAAAACCTGTGACGTCACTATTCCCACAAAGTTTAGTCAAGGTTTTAACATTTTAAAAAAAATGGGTTATTCTGCGTAGGAATAAATCAATAAATTAATTAACGTCTTTAAATAAATGTGTGATTAACAGTCTGTCTGCATTAAAAAATTATTCTCTACCTACATACTATTTTACAGCTTTCCACGATGAGTGCAACCATGCGAGATATTCGATCAGGCAAACAAACAAACAAACAAATAAATATTCAAACATGTAAACAAACTTGACTTTTAGTAGTATATAGATAGTATTCGGAGCTTAATTTAACTATGTGGAATTATTACTTAATTAAACTATGTTATTCTGTGGTTAATTTAATTCCTTTGCCAATGTAACAAAAGCTTAAAAACTCAATTTCTAGAGTTTACATGAAACAACTTGGGATTCAGGCTCCGGATATAAAAATCTTAATTAGTAACTTTTTAAATATATTTGTTTGTCTTTAAGCTTGGGTACTTAAGGGCCAATATTTTCTTGCATCAAAAACTTAAGTGAAAAAAAAACCTCGATCGTTCATGATATAATCTTTGAAACTTCTCTTACTAACTCTATTAGATTCAGATGGCTAGATATTGTACAATAAAACACTAGACATATTTTTTATGAAATACCACAAGCTTATAAATTAAATTGAATGTTAGCACACAAAAAAATTACGTTGAAAAAAGTTCCTCGTATCTCCATGTATTGAACGTTGGCCGCTCTGAATTCTTCCATCGTCTGCCACAGCATGTCTCTATAGATGGGCACGTAGTACAGCAGACGACCGACCTAAGACAAAACCGTTACGTCACAATCTATATTAGTTTTTACGTATACAGAAAATATAAAAATGGGCATGCTACATTAAGCCACACGCTAAAATATTCCAGTTTTGTAAAGTCAGGCTAGGATGCACTTACCCACGGACGTGGAGGGTGTATGTTATTAAGAATTTTTGTAACGTAACAAAAAGTCGTACTTGCAGACCGCACTGACCTGTATGAAATATCTGTTGAACTTGAGCCAAGCGGCCTGGTCGTAGGGGAAAGCCAGGAAAGGATCCGATGCTATCATGCTCAGGTTGTTTCTTATACTGTAGGAAGGTGGGGGGGGGGGGGGATGTTGAAACTATGCCAATATAATTGAACTAAACTTCATGACATCATCGATATAGGAGCAATTGGCCTTCACCTTAATCAACTCTACGCCCGCCTATTATAATTATTTCCTAGAAAGATCACTTCATATAATTCAACATTGACTACTATAATTAACGGGAATCAAATTCCGTTTTGTTATACAACTTAATCCAGTCAATTCATACAGGTTAACTTGAAAAACCATTTGCTTTAGCCTAATCGTGCTACTTGCTTCAATAGAGTTGTAGTATAGTTCAGTTAGCTAGTTATATCAATAGATTTGTAGTATAGTTCGGTTAGTTAGTTATATCAATACAGTTCAGCTAACAAGTTATATCAAAACAATTGTGGTATAGTTCAGTTAGCAATTATATCAATACAGTTGCAGTATAGTTTACTTAGCTGGCTATATCAATACAGATGTAGTATAGTTTACTTACCTAGTTATATCTATACAGTTGTCGTATAGTTCAGTTAACAACTTACTTTAAATCAAACGCTGTCACGTTAGGTGCCGCTTTTCTTTCTACAGCCACCGACTTCCATTTACAGTCTAGCGTTAATGAACAACAGAAAATGGCTGACTTTAAAATTTAGCTCATGATTTTATGGTGTATGATCAGATATGAATGTGCAAGAAATTTATCATGAAACGTATGTAATTTATAATTTAATTCGTTAGCTCTATTAGTGCGAAAATTGGTACAATTAATTTTTTTTAAAGCAAATAAAATTGTGATCATGTTGTGGATAAGAGTTCCCCTTCCATCCTTAAGACAGATGAAGTAGAGCTCATGCTTCATATGTAGAAATGGTGTGATCAATAATATGCCCAGTCCTCTTTACCTTCCCTAATAATGGATCTGGTACGAATCAGAGCTGGATGGACTAATGCACGTTCTGCAGTCTCTAATCCGGATTTGGATCCGAACTCGAGACCTTCAGGCTAGCAGTCGAGGGCTATTGTCGACAGCGTCACTTCAAAATCTAACACACTCCTTCATTTTACAAACACTACCTACACCTAGCCTAGCCACTGTATTTATCTAACTCAAACTGTTAAGTTCTCGGCCTAACTCTAATGAATACTGTGGTTCTCTAATTAAAATAATAACGTTAATTATAGTTTTAAAATAAATTATTAACCAAATAAACAAGATACAATTTTTTGATGATATTAACCTTTAGGCTGGTAGCTGGCATTAAAATTATTGTGTAAGTTCTCGGCCTTACCCTAATGAATGGGTGGTTTATCAAATTAAAATAACACCGTTAATTACCGTTTCAAAAAATATTTACAAAACAAAAAGGAAGATAAAAAATGTTAATGATGTTAACCTTTAGGCTGGTAGCTGTCATTAAAAACTCGGAATATCAAGAAGCCGTTGTGGTTGAGGCACATCCAAACGTTGTCCCTGTAGGTGGCGTTGTAGACTATCCAGTCCAGACTGACCATTGACTGGTCGTGTAGATGTAGCGCAGCACCTACGGGGGTAGAGAGTATTAGCACAAACACAAGGTGGGGATAGAAGTTGGGGAAGCGCAGGGGTAGTAGTGTTATGGAGAACTACAATATTTCTAGATAAAAATACAAGAAGTCACATGCATTGTATTCGAGTCAAAGATGAGTTTCACCTTTAGGCATCTGGTGAATTTTCTTGAACAGGGGCGTCTCCTCGATCAGTTTCCTGGAGTGGTAGAAGCTGGTTGACGGCATAAACGAGGTACGATTTATCCTACTGCCGTGTATCAAAGAACGTTTTTCCTAAGCACAAATAATTTTTATAACTATATATATATATATATATATATATATATATATATATATATATATATATATATATATATATATATATATATATATGTTTTTTGTGCTTTTATGCACCGCCTGAATTATAGAGGTTCACACATATGTGACCAGAATATGGAGTGTATCATGTACATAACTGTTGTTTGTGAAATAATTTAATTTGAAATAGCAGTATAAAATCAACGCATATCTTTTGTGTGCTTATTTTGATAGATTTGCTTTATTTACACGCAAAACACGTGTTTTCTCTACTAGTTTTAACAAAATACTATAACCCCAGTTAATTAAATGTTACACATGGATCCAACTCACCTTCATAAAATAATCGTTGACTATTTTTTCTTTATCACTTAGCACCAGATTAGCACCGACCCGCATGTGCTCGTCACGGTCTATTAGCTCCTGCCTGACCCTCAGATAGTCAGACGTGTCCACGGGGAGGGAGCCCACGAGCACAAAGGGGAGAATCAGAATAATAGGACCCAACATTGTAGGGTTTAGTGTAGTAGTTCTAGCAGTTTAAAACTAAATCTGTATGAGGAAGGAGAGAGGATCAGAATAATAGGACCCAACATTGTAGGGTTTAGTGTAGTAGTTCTAGCAGTTTAAAACTAAATCTGTATGAGGAAGGAGAGAGGATCAGAATAATAGGACCCAACATTGTAGGGTTTAGTGTAGTAGTTCTAGCAGTTTAAAATAAAATCTGTATCAGTAAGAATAGGAAACTCAGAATCAGTTGTCTAGCAGTTCTAGCAGTTTAAAACACAATATGTATCAGTAAGAATAGAAGATCAGAATCAGCCGTCCCAACATTGTAGGGTTTAGTGTAGTAGTTCTAGCAGTTTAAAATAAAATCTGTATCAGTAAGAATAGGAAACTCAGAATCAGTTGTCTAGCAGTTCTAGCAGTTTAAAACACAATATGTATCAGTAAGAATAGAAGATCAGAATCAGCCGTCCCAACATTGTAGGGTTCAGTGTAGCAGTTCTAGCAGTTTAAAACTAAATCTGTATGAGTAAGAATAGGAAACTCAGAATCAGTTGTCTAGCAGTTCTAGCAGTTTAAAACAAAATCTGTATGAGGAAGGAGAGAGGATCAGAATCAGTGGTCCCAACATTGTAGGGTTCAGTGTAGCAGTTCTAGCAGTTTAAAACTAAATCTGTATGAGTAAGAATAGGAAACTCAGAATCAGTTGTCTAGCAGTTCTAGCAGTTTAAAACAAAATCTGTATGAGGAAGGAGAGAGGATCAGAATCAGTGGTCCCAACATTGTAGGGTTCAGTGTAGCAGTTCTAGCAGTTTAAAATAAAATCTTTAGCAGTAAGAATAGAAGATCAGAATCAGTGGTCCCAACATTGTAGGATTTAGTGAAGTAGTTCTAGCAGTTTAAAACTAAATCTGTAGAAGTAAGAATAGGAAACTCAGAATCAGTTGTCTCAAGCAGTGTATTTTTAGGCATCTTTCTTTGGTAGCACAGCACTTCCACCCCCTTCGAAAGAATTGTATACAGATTTTTAAATGTAACCACTCTTATAATTGCACACCATCTACCCCAACTGGAAGTTTCAAATGCAACATGTCAAAAAGAAACCCAGGTAGAGGCGTAGTGACCCTTCTCGGCGCCCGGGGACAAACTTTCAACTTGGCGCCACCCCGCATATTTTTTATATTTATAATGCAAAACTGCAGCTAAAATGAGTTTTCAATTTTTATAACCCATTTCGGCGCACCCTGGGGTCGGCGCCCGGAGACATATGTACCCCCCCCCCTCGCTACGCCTCTGATCTCTGGTCCCCTACATGTATGATTTTAAGTGCAGCAGTTCTAGCAGTTTAAAATAAAATATTTACCAATAGGAAGACGGGCATCACAATCTGCAAACGTAAAGCGACCCAGCAGATTTGTAACGTAAACTAAAATCTAGAGAGTCGGCGAGAAATGTGATGGAGTAGAGTGATGCTAGTAATTCTTGCAGGAGAATCTAATTGTCTGAATAGTAAAAACCACAGCCACAATCTCCTTTGTCTACAAATACCTTAAGCTGACCATTGATAATATTAGATGGTCAAATACGCCCTGAAAAGTCTGCGGGTTTTTTTAAATATGTGGGGCCTTATGCAGCCAAATAACTTATCCACTAGTAGAGATTAATAGCTGTATGCTACTAGATCAAGGTTAAGTACTATACATTACTAGCCTGTATTTAACAAGCTAATGGCTAACAGCTCTACATAACTAATTGGAATTTAATATCTTTAAACTTGTAACGAAATCCAGGTAGATTTCATAACACAAATGGCGCCACTGGAATAATGATGATGATTAAGTACTAACAAAAGGTAATTAGCTTTACCTCTCGATAACAATATCTTTGATTACACTTGCCGTAGTTCGTAATACAAATGCATTACCAACTAACAATGAAAACAAGACACGTAACACAATTGCACTACTAATTAACTATCATAACTACACTACAAATTAACTTTCACAACGAGATAAACACAACAAAAGTAGTTCACAATCCGGACAATTTTCTGAGCAAGTAAACAAACATAAAGGGGAAATAACCATCGGTGTAAAAATAACCTAATGCATGCTAAATATAGCTTTAACAGTACGGAGTTACACAACAATGACACTTAACATACATACAACTGCAACACGCGGGTTACACGAAGAAATCCCACTAAGGTTTATGGGGGAATATCCGATTTTTCAATATGGAAATTGTGACTTGTGTTTAAAAAATTATCGTTATACAGCAATGTTATAGTAGCAATAGTAATAACAATAATAATAATAAAAATAATAGTAATAATAAAAATGATAAACTAGCTTTAAAACACGTTGTTTTTTTTTAAACCAATAATAATTTAAAATATGCTAATGACAAGCAAAAACAAATGAAAACAATCCGAAACTGAAACTAAAATTGATAAGACTTGATAGTGGCATTGATAATAATTAAAATGATAAAGATTATATCGATAACGATAAAAAAGCGATAACGATTTTTAAAAATCGAGATAGTGTTTAAGATAAAGATAAGGAAACCTAACAGCGTTAACGATAACTATTTTTATAAAGTAGCAATTATTAATTAAACTGAAACTTTAATTATTTAGTTCGACTACAAGGCATAACGGTAATTCTTAACAATATAAGCCACGTATTAGGATTAATTAGTAAAATTGTAAATTATCATTACAGACCTGACCTGCAATTAGTGTCGTGTACAGGATAGACTAGTGGCGTTTGACTGGCCAAAACCTGACCCCCCACTAGAACGTCGGGGACGGGGCGATGGTATGACCGAGTCACGTGACAAGAAGGTTTACTACTTAAGAAAACATCCGGCTAATTGTTTCTAGGAAAACTTTTATGAATTAAGTGATGTCACTTTTTTAACGTAGGGTTCACTTAACAGCCTCATAGGCCTGACGGTGTACTATCCAGCGCCCTCTTAGACCTGACGGTGCACATACCAGAAAACTTACCAGAAAATCTACTAGAAAACCTACCAGAAAACCTACCAGAAAACCTACCAGAAAACCTACCAGAAAACCTAGAAGAAAACCTACCAAACAACCTACCAGAAAATCTACCAGACAACCTACTAGACAACCTACCATATAACCTACAACAATACATACCATACAACCTACTATAACAAAAATTAGTGATCTCAAACAACACTTCACGCAGTCAGTGGCCTATCCTGATAGAAATCTACTGTCATGTACTTTAAAAAACAAATCACGGGAGGGGTGGGGGCAGGAGGGATAGATGTAGAGAAGATAATTATCTGTTTAATGCAGACTAAACACTTGTTTATTCATTTTTTTTTTAATTTTCCATTTTAAAATCATCTCCATCTCTTCACATTTTCATGAACACGGATAGTCTAATTTTAGTAACATCAACTAGGATGTAAAGCACATGACCACTCAATTATTTCCCTAAAACTCTATTTATAAACAAATAACACAATTAGCCACTAATTACTATCACAGTATATATAAGAAATATATTTCTTATAAGTTTTCATTTGGTAAAACCCAATCATTATAAAGCTAAGAACACTCTTATAGGGAAATCCTGTTAAAAAATTAACAGATGAATGGGGCAGTCTTCTAATTTGTGTGAAGAATTATTATTTAAGGCGTCATCAAGACGTCGCATGCAGTCACATTGGGGGGGGGGGGGGACAAACGTGAAAACGTAAGGTTTTAATCTGTCCAACCAGTGTTTCTTTCAAACTTTTTTCTTCATTTTCGAGAGAGGGGGGGGGGGAAGGACTAAATTTTCCGAGGAGGGCAGACACTGGTAAAAAATATATTTTCAATATAAATTCCATGTAAACGACAATGCACAGTCGAATATTATATTTTTCGTCACGTTTGTACATTTTCCCATCGTTTTTTTGTAAAGACTGAATAAATAATATTTCTCAAGTCAATCTCTTTTTCAAAGTTTGTTTGTTTAATTATTCGCAGAAAATAAAAAACAAGAATGTTTAAAAGAATTTTGAAAAAAAAGCATTGTATACATATAGGCGCATTTCAATGAGTACAGTAAAATAAATTTTACAGTAATTAAATGGATTTGATAAGCCTACACCGGGAAGAGTTTCTACAGTAAAATACATTCTCTGTTTACATATTAGTCAAACACGGCATGTTATCACACAATCATACAAATACATCATCACACAAACACACCGTAACACATACATCAACGTGGTACATACACCAGTCCATACAATACATCTACACATAATCCAGTCATACACCACCAAATAATTTATCCATCCAGACTTAACACTCATGATAAGAACACTTATCCACACGAAGTATCCATACATATACCTCATTCATAAAAATTCCACAACCCAAACCTTGTAAAATAGAACCAACTCACCACCTCATAACATACCCACCTACAAAACAGCCACTCATAAAACACCTATTCATAAACAACCAAACTTAACTTCTTACAGGATGTTAAAAAAAATCTTTATGCACCTCCCCACCCCCTTCTTCCCCCACCCATGACCGACTTCTACTTAAAAAACCTGCCAAGCCCCAACATGTTAAATAAAACCCGTCAATAAACAGCTCATCACACTCCTCCACCTAGTGACGTCACAGGGTGGTTAGATGCCCAGGTACCACTCTCCCACTTAATGACGTCACAGTGTGGTCAGATGCCCAGGTACCACTCCCCCACCTAGTGACGTCACAGGGTGGTCAGATGCCCAGGTAAACCACCAGCTTGGTGCCACACCCCCCACCTAGTGACGTCACAGGGTGGTCAGATGCCCAGGTACCACTCCCCCACCTAGTGACGTCACAGGGTTGACAGTCGTGAGATGCCCAGGTACCACTCCCCCACCTAGTGACGTCACAGGGTGGTCAGATGCCCAAGTACACCACCAGCTTGGTGCCACACCCCCCCCCAGCTAGTGACGTCACAGGGTGGTCAGATGCCCAGGTACCACTCCCCCACCTAGTGACGTCACAGGGTTGACAGTCGTGAGATGCCCAGGTACCACTCCCCCACCTAGTGACGTCACAGGGTTGACAGTCGTGAGATGCCCAGGTACCACTCCCCCACCTAATGACGTCACAATGTGGTCAGATGCCCAGGTACCACTCCCCCACCTAGTGACGTCACAGGGTTGACAGTCGTGAGATGCCCAGGTACCACTCCCCCACCTAATGACGTCACAATGTGGTCAGATGCCCAGGTGCCACTCCCCAACCTAGTGACGTCACAGTGTGGACAGCCGTGAAATGCCCAGGTACCACTCCCCCACCTAATGACGTCACAGAGTTGACAGTCGTGAAATGCCCAGGTACACGACCAACTTGGTGCCACTCCCCCCACCGAGTGACGTCACAGTGTGGTCAGTCGTGAGATGCCCAGGTACCACTCCCCCACCTAATGACGTCACAGAGTTGACAGTCGTGAAATGCCCAGGTACACGACCAACTTGGTGCCACTCCCCCCACCGAGTGACGTCACAGTGTGGTCAGTCGTGAGATGCCCAGGAACCACTCCCCCACCTAATGACGTCACAGAGTTGACAGTCGTGAAATGCCCAGGTACACGACCAACTTGGTGCCACTCCCCCCACCGAGTGACGTCACAGTGTGGTCAGTCGTGAGATGCCCAGGTACCACTCCCCCACCTAATGACGTCACAGAGTTGACAGTCGTGAGATGCCCAGGTACACGACCAACTTGGTGCCCAGGAAGAAGCTGGTCCACGGTGCCAGCAGTCCACTGGCGCCGTTGTTTTGTTTAGTGGTGCTGGCCCGGACAGGGGCGGCGGAGGTGGGCGGCTCCCCGACAAAAGTGTCCCATTTGGTCTGCCATAGTTTCATGGCCGCCTCCTTACGGGCGGGATCTAATGAGCTGTACCTGGAATACATTGAAACATATTGAGAGAAAAGCTTCCATTTGCTCGACTACTGTAAGTGTATACATTAAAAGATATAGCTATTAGGCAAACCATACAACCACACTCTAGTACATTGGCGCTATGGATTGCCGGTTCACTTTACCAACAGGCAATGGTCTTCTGACGACCGTCTATGGTCGATGGTCTTCTGGCGACCGTCTATGGTCGATGGTCTTCCTACGACTCTCTATGGTCGATGGTCTTAAGACGACCATCTATGGTCGATGGTCTTCTGACGACCGTCTATGGTCTATGGTCTACCAACAACCGTATATGGCCGATGGTCTTTTGACGACCGTCCATGGTCGATGGTCTACTAACGACCATATATGGTCGATGGTCTTCGGACGACGGTCTATAGTCGATGATCTACTGACTACCGTCTATGGTCCATGGTCTTCGGACGACTGTCTATTGTCGATGATCTACTGACGACCGTCTATGGTCGATGGTCTTCGGACGACCGTCTTTGTCGATGGTCTTTTGACGACCCTCTATGGTCGATAGTCTTCTGACGACGGTCTATTGTCAATGTCTACTGACGACCGTCTATGGTCGATGTTCTATGACGACCGTCTATGGTCGATGTTCTATGACGACCGTCTATGGTCGATGGTCTTCTGACAACCGTCTATGGTCGATGGACTACTGAAGACCGTCTATGGTCGATGGTCTTCTGACGACCGTCTATGGTCGATGTCTACTGACGACCCTCTATGGTCAATGGTCTTCCAACGACCGCTAGCAACCATTGGTCTACCGTCGACCGTCGTGACTTACTTGATCGAGTTGATGGCCAGCTGTTTCAGTAGGGTCAGGTCCGCCATCTCGCTGGACATCGTGAGGAACACGACGTAGAAGTCATGTGACAAGGGGGCGGCGTCAAAGGTCGTCCGGTCGTCCGAACTGATGACCACTGACAGGTTGTTGGCCATGAGAGCGGCCATCGGGTGGTTGCGGAAGTCGTTGATTAACCGTAACACCTGCACAGAGTAACACATTTAACACCTGCACACAAATTTAACACCAGCAAATGTAACACCTGTACACAAATGTAACACCTGAACACAAATGTAACACCTGCACACAAATGTAACAACTGCACACAAATGTAACACCTGCACACAAATGTAACACCTGCACACAAATGTAACACCTGCACACAAATGTAACACCTGCACACAGTAACAAATTTAACACCTGCACACAAATGTAACACCTGCAAATCTAGCACCTGCACACAAATGTAACACCTGCACACAAATGTAACACCTGCAAATGTAACACCTGCACATAGATGTAACACCTGCAAAACAATTTAACACCTGCACACAGTAACAAATTTAACACCTGCAAACAAATGTAACACGGTTATCTTTGTGTCTGATAGATAATAGACTTTCTTAAATCAAACAATCATATCAACAAGATGGCAATTTAAGTATAATTGACTATATAACTGAGTGACGGAATATGGAAAGATAAGGAACACGATAAATTATTATTAAAAACTAAATAAAGTTCAACATATAGGAAGTGGCAGAGATTTTATACTGCTGACTTGCCTGGTTTGAGATGGGCTGGACCTCTACAGCGATGTTTTGCTCTTTGACCTTCTGTAGGAACTTGGGGTGCTTGCCCAGAGCGTACCCGTGGCCGATACGTGTGGCGTTCAGAAGGATGGCGTCAGCGATGTTGAACCCGGTCTCCGTGCCCTGCCAGGCTGCAATCATTGAATGTCGAGGTTTAGTGGGTTTAGAAACAGGGTTCAATCATTGAATGCCGAGGTTTAGTGGGTTTAGAAACAGGGTTCAATCATTGAATGTCGAGGTTTAGTCGGGTATAGGAACAGGGTTCAATCATTGAATGTCGAGGTTTAGTCGGGTATAGGAACAGGGTTCAATCATTGGGTACCAAGGTTTAGTCGGGTATAGAAACAGGTTCAATCATTGGGTACCAAGGTTTAGTCGGGTTTAGAAACAGGTTCAATCATTGGGTACCAAGATTTAGTCGGGTGTAGGAACATGGTTCAATCATTGAATGCCGAGGTTTAGTGGGTTTAGAAACAGGGTTCAATCATTGAATGTCGAGGTTTAGTCGGGTATAGGAACATGGTTCAATCATTGAATGTCGAGGTTTAGTCGGGTATAGGAACAGGGTTCAATCATTGGGTACCAAGGTTTAGTCGGGTTTAGAAACAGGTTCAATCATTGGGTACCAAGATTTAGTCGGGTGTAGGAACATGGTTCAATCATTGAATGCTGAGGTTTAGTCGGGTATAGAAACAGGTTCAAGCATTGAATGTCGAGGTTTAGTCGGGTATAGGAACATGGTTCAATCATTGAATGCCGAGGTTTAGTCGGGTATAGGAACAGGGTTCAATCATTGGGTACCAAGGTATAGTCGGGTATAGGAACATGGTTCAAGCATTGGTTACCAAGGTATAGTCGGGTTTAGAAACAGGGTTCAATCATTGGGTACCAAGGTTTAGTGGGGTATAGGAACATGGTTCAATAATTGGGTACCAAGGTTTAGTCGGGTATAGAAACAGGTTCAAGCATTGGGTACCAAGGTTTAGTCGTATATAGAAACAGGGTTCAATCATTGGGTACCAAAGTTTATTCGGGTGAAAAAAAGAGGGTTCTGGTGTGTGGTGTGGGTCGGCGGTGGACATTCTCTGCAAAAATGACCTAATGTTAATTTGACCGATACGTGACACGATAATTAGAGGGTAAACTGATGCGAATGATGATGACGTGACCCAAGTTGACCAGACGTGACTCTAAACGAAAGATAGGGACAAAACGTGACACGAAAAATACAAGATCTAAGATTCTTGAAAAATAACGTAACTTTGAAGAAATATGATTTAAATGATTTTAGAAAAGATGAACTAATGAGATACACCGTGACCTCATGTGACCTAAGATGACCTCAAGTGACCTAACGTGACTCACGTGTCTCCCCAGCGTGCAGGAAGTACGGCAGCTTGTAGGGCGGGTCTTGTCTGGACGGGTACAGAAGAGCCTCGCTGTAGTAGGACAGGGGGTTGTAGAGAGCCTCGTTTCCAGACATGTCGTAGCCAGCCACCACTTCCGGGTACTTCTTGTGGAGCTCCATAGCTGTCTTCACCTCCTCGAGAATAACGGAACTGTTACGGTTTCTGTGGAAGCCGGCAAGAAAATATCAGAGTAGAACAATCAGAAAACACACGTCAGTTGAAGGCAGTATTTGGGGAACGGGATAATATATATATGTATATACTTTATATATATATATATATATATATATATATATATATATATATATATATATATATATATATACATATATATATATATATATACATATACATATACATATATGTATATATTTGCATACATACATACATATATATATATATATATATATATATATATATATATATATATATATATATATATATATATATATATATATATATATATATATATATATATATATATATATATATATATATATATATATATATATAACCTGTATATTATCGAAGAAGTCCCCCTTATGCAACAACGACATCATGATGGCTAGCTAAATGTATTAAATGTGCATTATGTCATTGTGTTAATGGTAACTGCCAAGGGGCGTGGCCTGTTAGAAGACTAAACCAACCTGATGCCAGATAGAATGACCTTGACCCCTGAGAAATCCGGGTAGGTCTTGACGAACTGGTCAGCCACTTGTTTGACCAACAGCACGCCAAACTCCGTGTCGTATCTGGTACCGTCCAGACCAAACATCTGGGATTAAAGATACAAGGTCAAGGTCAAAGATTGGTTATTGCGTTGGTGGTGGTGTTAGTTTTTGGTAGTATGTAGTGGTAGTTGGTGGTAGTGTTTGTTTTTGGTAGTATGTAGTGGTAGTTGGTGGTGGTGTTAGTTTTTGGTAGCATGTAGTGATAGTTTGTGGTAGTGTTTGTTTTTGGTAGTATGTAGTGGTAGTTGGTGGTGGTGTTAGTTTTTGGTAGTATGTAGTGATAGTTGGTGGTGGTGTTAGTTTTTGGTAGTATGTAGTGATAGTTTGTGGTAGTGTTTGTTTTTGGTAGTATGTAGTGGTAGTTGGTGGTGGTGTTAGTTTTTGGTAGTATGTAGTGATAGTTTTTGGTAGTGTTTGTTTTTGGTAGTATGTAGTGGTAGTTGGTGGTGGTGTTAGTTTTTGGTAGTATGTAGTGGTAGTTGGTGGTGGTGTTAGTTTTTGGTAGTATGTAGTGGTAGTTGGTGGTGGTGTTAGTTTTTGGTAGTATGTAGTGGTAGTTGGTGGTAGTGTTTGTTTTTTGTAGTATTTAGTGGTAGTTGGTGGTAGTGTTAGTGTTTTTGGTAGTATGTAGTGGTAGTTTGTGGTAGTGTTTGTTTTTTGTAATATTTAAAGGTAGTTGGTGGTAGTGTTTGTTTTTTGTAATATTTAAAGGTAGTTGGTGGTAGTTTGTGGTAGTTTTTTGTGTGGAAATAGTTAGTAGTAGTTAGTAGTTGTTGGTGATGGTAGCTGGTAGATGAAAGTTGGTGGTAGTTGATGGTAGTTGGTGATAGTTTTTCGTGGTAATAGTTGGTAGTAGTTGGTAGTTGTTGGTGATGGTAGTTGGTAGTTGGTTGATGGTAGTTGGTGGTAGTTGATGGTAGTTGGTGGTAGTTGCCAGAGACATGGCATGGCTAAACATACTGAGTGAATGATTAAATGACTTGCTTATCCTTCAAAAGATAACTTTAAAAAACATAAAAACAAAATTGACCTGGTCAAAAGAGCCTCGTATCTCCAGGTACTGGACATTGGCATCACGGAACTCTCTCAACGTCTGCCACAGCATGTCGCGGTAGATGGGCACGTGGTACAGCAGGTTTGATACCTGGGGTTGGTCAAACCATTTCATGGGGTTAGATTGGTTGATTTGGTGTGGTTATTAACCCATTCGTTGGATTAGATTAGTTGATTTAGTGTGGTAATTTACCCATTCTTTGGATTAGATTAGTTGATTCAAGGTGGTAATTTACCCATTCATTCGATTAGATTTGCTAATTCAGTGAGGTAATCAATCCATTCATTGGATTAGATTTGATTGGCAATTCAAGGTGATAATCAATTTATAGGATTTGGTTTGATACACACAGCGTCGTTGAAGCGATGTTTTCTTATATATGGCTGATACATGACTGTGGGGAGTGTGGGATATAATGCAGTAAAAAATGGAATCTTCTGCTACAGATGCAGTAGATATAACGTAATATTATGTTAAAGTTACTTCCCTATGTATAAAACCCTTAACCTAAAATTTTAAAGCGGTATTAGATACAATATATATATATATATATATATATATATATATATATATATATATATATATATATATATATATATATATATATATATATATATATATATATATATATATATATATATATATATATATATATATATATATATATATATATATATATATATATACATATATATACTTAGAAAAAAGCTACGTCCTTTTTTCAGAAAAGCTTATTGAAGTTATTGTCAGACACTTATAGAAATAATCATCCATTATGGATTTAGTATATTGATTTGATGTGGCTGCTAAGACGTAATGTTTGCGTTATATGTGACAATTATTACCTAGTATTTACGTTACATGTGACAACTATGACGTCAAATCTTACCTGTCTAAAAAACAATCCGAATCTGACCCAGGCCGCCTGGTTGTCTGCAAAGGTCAAAAATGGGTCAGACCCCATCAGGGTCAAGTTGTTCTTTAGGCTGAAGAGGTGGAAAATATACGTCAGTTGACGACGTGTGCAAGTAACATAGTAACCATAGCAACGGCGAGTTTACGTCACCCGATTACAACACATAATTTTATTTTTGTTTATCTTTAAAAAAAAATTCTCGGGACTAAATTTATTTTTTAGATCTATAAGCCTATGGTAAGAGGAGATGGTAAAATAGAATTACTTGAGGTCAAAAGCTGTAACATTGCCCGAGGCTGCTCTTTCGTTCTTCACCAGCTTCCACAGACAGTCTGGGGAGAAACCGGAAGCTGGTTACACTCTGTTTCATGACGACGGAGGTCGTGAGAGATTTGTGTGAGATGACGGACACGTGAGGAATATGATAGCCGGATGTGACGTGCTGTTACATGTCCTATCTCACCTGGTGTCTGGCATATATCTCACCTGGTGTCTGGCACATATCACACCTGGTGTCTGGTACCTCACCTGGAGTCTGGTACCTATCTCACCTGGTGTCTGGTACCTCACCTGGAGTCTGGTACCTATATCACCAGGTGTCTGGTACCTATCTCACCTGGTGTCTGGTACCTCACCTGGTGTCTGGTACCTCACCTGGTGTCTGGTACCTATCTCACCTGGTGTCTGGTACCTATATCACCAGGTGTCTGGTACCTATCTCACCTGGTGTCTGGTACCTCACCTGGTGTCTGGTACCTATCTCACCTGGTGTCTGGTACCTATCTCACCTGGTGTCTGGTACCTATCTCACCTGGTGTCTGGTACCTATCTCACCTGGTGTCTGGTACCTGTCTCACCTGGTGTCTGGTACCTATCTCACCTGGTGTCTGGTACCTATCTCACCTGGTGTCTGGTACCTATCTCACCTGGTGTCTGGTACCTCACCTGGTGTCTGGTACCTGTCTCACCTGGTGTCTGGTACCTATCTCACCTGGTGTCTGGTACCTATATCACCAGGTGTCTGGTACCTATCTCACCTGGTGTCTGGTACCTCACCTGGTGTCTGGTACCTATCTCACCTGGTGTCTGGTACCTATCTCACCTGGTGTCTGGTACCTATCTCACCTGGTGTCTGGTACCTGTCTCACCTGGTGTCTGGTACCTATCTCACCTGGTGTCTGGTACCTATCTCACCTGGTGTCTGGTACCTATCTCACCTGGTGTCTGGTACCTACCTCACCTGGTGTCTGGTACCTCACCTGGTGTCTGGTACCTCACCTGGTGTCTGGCACCTATCTCACCTGGTGTCTGGTACCTATCTCACCTGGTGTCTGGTACCTCACCTGGTGTCTGGTACCTCACCTGGTGTCTGGTACCTATCTCACCTGGTGTCTGGTACCTCACCTGGTGTCTGGTACCTCACCTGGTGTCTGGTACCTCACCTGGTGTCTGGTACCTCATCTGGTGTCTGGTACCTATCTCACCTGGTGTCTGGTACCTGTCTCACCTGGTGTCTGGTACCTATATCACCAGGTGTCTGGTACCTATCTCACCTGGTGTCTGGTACCTATCTCACCTGGTGTCTGGTACCTATCTCACCTGGTGTCTGGTACCTGTCTCACCTGGTGTCTGGTACCTACCTCACCTGGTGTCTGGTACCTATCTCACCTGGTGTCTGGTACCTGTCTCACCTGGTGTCTGGTACCTACCTCACCTGGTGTCTGGTACCTATCTCACCTAGTGTCTGGTGCATATATCACCTGGTGTCTGGTACCTGTCTCACCTGAAGTCTGGTACCTATCTCACCTAGTGTCTGGTACATATATCACCTGGTGTCTGGTACCTGTCTCACCTGAAGTCTGGTAGCTGCTGTTGAAAACCTGGAAGTTCAGGTAACCATTGGCTAGCGGGCACATGTACACGTCATCTCTGTACGTCACGTTGGTCACCAGCCAATCAAGACTCACCATTGACATGTCGTGGATGTGTAGCGCCGCCCCTGAAATGTACACGCCGTGTTATGATTGGTTAAACACTTCAGTGATATCTGTTTACACTTAGGGAGTGTTTAGTTATATCAACACATTTTAAGTCCACAAATTACGGTTGTCGATGTTGTAGTAAAAACAAAGTAAACACCTTTTTCTTCAAATCTTGGCTCTTATTTTGTTTTTTCTAAAGGCACTGACTATGACGTCTGCATTAATGTAGGGCACTGACAAGAATGTATGGCACTGACAAGAATGTGTGGCACTGACAAGAATGTGTGGCACTGACAAGAATGTGTGGCACTGACAAGAATGTATGGCACTGACAAGAATGTGTGGCACTGACAAGAATGTGTGGCACTGACAAGAATGTGTGGCACTGACAAGAATGTATGGCACTGACAAGAATGTATGGCACTGACAAGAATGTATGGCACTGACAAGAATGTATGGCACTGACTATAAACGTCTGCATGTACGTGGTGCCAGGACTCACCTTTAGGCATCTGGTGAATCTTCTCAAACAGGGGCGTCTCCTCGATCAGTCTCCTGGAGTGGTAGAAGCTCGTGGACGGCACAAAGACGGAACGGTTGGTCCGGCTTGTTTGTATCATGGCGCGTTTTTCCTGAGGACATTTTCAAACAGTTACGGAAAAAAGTCATATTGTATGTGGTGTGTTTTTTTTTAAATTACATATTTGGCCGTATGCGTATAGTTATGTTAGTGTTTCCAAAACTAGACAGTTGTTATATTTTAAAAAAGCTAAAAATTGTATTTTATCAACACATAAAATTACAATGTTTTTTGTGTGTAGCTTTAAAACAAAATATTATAAAATATATAAAAATAAATATTTTTATCACTTCACCGAATTGAATCGCACCAGCTATCAAGAAAAAATTACCTTCATGAAAATTTCGTTCATTCTCTGCTCTTGTACCGACAGCACCAGATGACCACCCAGTCGCATGTGCTCATCTTCAGCAATCAGGTCATCTCTCATGCTCAGGTACTGGGACGTCTCCAGGGGCGTGGATCTGGTCAGCAGAGGGATGAGCAGACTGACCAGGATTTGTGTGGTTAAGTGGGGCATCTTTGTTTTTTCCAAACTTTCAATTATTTTATTTTATTAATACACTGTAAACAAGGAATATATATATATATATATATATATATATATATATATATATATATATATATATATATATATATATATATATAAGAAAATGAAACATTTTATTAAAGCAAATTATAAAATTCAATGAACTGTATGTAGCAGGATGAATTTGCAGCAGATTTATTTTTCCTTTGAAATAGAATGCTTGAAATAAATGATATCAGACTATAAACCAATTGCTTGTAAACTATCTATGACAACTTATATTAAGCTTAATAATAATATGGTGCTTATAGTATCCATGGATTGATTTAAGAACATCATTAATTATATAGATCAAAAATAAATTTCGAATCCATCTCATAATAAATTTTAGATCTAAATTAAACTGATTGATTTTTAAATACTTTTATGTTTATTATTAAGGTAGGTAACTGGTATGCCTGAAACGACGAGTTTTATTTTCATTGTTATATCCCGTATAATATAGTTTAGTTGGACCTAGAATAATTACACACATTTTTGTGTCAAGGTTATTTTGTTCAAAATGTAATTTCTTTAAAGAAGAATAATGAAATAATTTTTAACGATAAACAAATTAAAACTTATAATTTAGTCTATTATACTCCTCTTTTGAATACAAATGTTAATTAACTTTTTTTTAACTTATGGAAAGAAGGAAAAAAGAAAAAAAAAGTTGGTCAAAGGGGAGTAACTATGAAATTTTATTCAATTTTAAATGCACAACTATAGTTAACGTTCTTCATTAAACATTGAATAGAATTATTTATTTGAAGAAAATGTGTTCATTTTAAATAGCAAAATAAAAAACTGTAAACATACCAAATAAATTTCATTCACTTTTTTCGAATTAGAGCAGCTTTTATATTATATAGTTATGTTACTTTATATTTTGTAGCTATAAATTTCATTATTACCTCCCTTTGAATGAATCTACAGTACCAATCTAACATGTATTTACACATTTTTTTAATTGAAAGAATTACACTTCTATGTCTATCGAAAAGCGACAAAAAATTATAGATACTAAAGTTGATTAATATGTAGACAAATTTATCGTAAAGGTAAAAAAATTATATTTTTAAAGAATAAAAAAATAAAAAAGTAGGCCTTTATATCCATTACGTGATCTTATGTCAAATATTGTTTTTTTATAAGCAGTAACTAATTTTAAATGTTACAAAATTTCTAAATTAAGAGAAATGAAAATAAGAGTTTATTTATAACATATTGTATATTATGCTTAAAAGAGCCAAAATCCTTGTTATTATACGCTGCATGACTGGGGTTCCAAAATATATACCCAACGGTGTGGGTATATATTATGTTGAAACATTTTGAAACGTATTTTGCTTTGGTTTTAGCATTCAAGTACGGTGATTTTAAATGTAGATCTCTTGTTTAGTCATTTAAAAGAAACAATTAATGTAATACTCGTGTTATGCAGTAAAACACAAATAATTTTGTATTAGTGAACTTCATACATTACAATATATTTATCAATGTATTACTTTACCTACCTCGATCAGTAAAAAACAATGTAATACTTTTTCTTTACTCTTTATTCTATTAAATCATATTTTGTGTGTATAAAATGTTATTATTTAAGTCTGAGAAAGTTGTACATAACTAAAGGTAACTTTACACATAAAATACTTTAATTTTATCCTTATTGTGCAACTTTTTATAACGCTGCAATACATCAATACAAGAGCTTAATTTGTTATATATATTTAAACAAAATGTAACGTCAAAGATTAAATAGATAACATACATATTAAAATATCCAGGCTCGGATAAAATTTTCCAAGATGTTTTGTTTACATAACTTAGGCAACTACACAGCTAACATCCTTTTGAATGAACTTAAACATTACCTGCCAATTACCCTCTAGCGATGCAGTATTCTAAGTAAGCGCTTGTGCTGTAAACACGCTAATATAATTCTAGGTCCTTATCGTCTACGTCAAGATAAAAACATATTCTCGCCTGCTCTAAAAATAATTTTAGGAATCCCCGAAAAACTTCAATTCCCAACAGAGCAGTTTAGCCTTGAACGATACACCAAGTTTTATTTGTGGGAAACTTGCGCTGTAAAAACTCTCAACAACAACAACTGTGTGCAACGAACGGCCATCCAACAAGACGTAGATGTCAATAAACTCTTGCGTTGAGGAGTTGTCGACCCTGCTTTATTTTAAACCCTGTCATTCCATCCGGATAGTTTGTTTACTTTCGTTTTCCTTTGCGCAATTTTTAAAAAAGCAGAAGACGCCAAACCCCGCCCAAAAATAAATTCACTCATTTAAGGAATGTTGTATCAAAGCAATGAGTGAACGCATTCAAATAATGGCCTCACGTTTTTTATAGCTTGTGTTGAGGAGAAAAGTCTACGGTAGTTTAACTGGGTCTATTCCAGTCTAACCAAGTCTACGGTAGTTTAACTGGGTCTATTCCAGTCTAACCAAGTCTACGGTAGTTTAACTGGGTCTATTCCAGTCTAACCAAGTCTACGGTAGTTTAACTGGGTCTATTCCAGTCTAACCAAGTCTACGGTAGTTTAACTGGGTCTATTCCAGTCTAACCAAGTCTACGGTAGTTTAACTGGGTCTATTCCAGTCTAACCAAGTCTACGGTAGTTTAACTGGGTCTATTCCAGTCTAACCAAGTCTACGGTAGTTTAACTGGGTCTATTCCAGTCTAACCAAGTCTACGGTAGTTTAACTGGGTCTATTCCAGTCTAACCAAGTCTACGGTAGTTTAACTGGGTCTATTCCAGTCTAACCAAGTCTACGGTAGTTTAACTGGGTCTATTCCAGTCTAACCAAGTCTACGGTAGTTTAACTGGGTCTATTCCAGTCTAACCAAGTCTACGGTAGTTTAACTGGGTCTATTCCAGTCTAACCAAGTCTACGGTAGTTTAACTGGGTCTATTCCAGTCTAACCAAGTCTACGGTAGTTTAACTGGGTCTATTCCAGTCTAACCAAGTCTACGGTAGTTTAACTGGGTCTATTCCAGTCTAACCAAGTCTACGGTAGTTTAACTGGGTCTATTCCAGTCTAACCAAGTCTACGGTAGTTTAACTGGGTCTATTCCAGTCTAACCAAGTCTACGGTAGTTTAACTGGGTCTATTCCAGTCTAACCAAGTCTAAATCAACCTAAGACGAAATTAAATAACGTGTCTAATATAGACACAAACACACGCAGTGCAACATACTCTAACATAAACAAACTCAAACATAGTCTCAAACACACACACATATATATAGACATAAACACACATTGTAGCACACTCTAAAAAAAACGCAAACACACAACGTGTAACACACTTTAACATTCACATAAACACGCCGATTAACACACTCAAACATAGTCTCAAACACACAGTGTCATACACTCTTATATAGACACAACCACACACCATGTAACATACTCTAAAATAGACATAAACACACACTGTGTAACATATTCTAACATAGACACAAACACCACTGTGTAACATACTCTAACCTTGGCCCTGTTGACAAGTCAACGAGTATAGAAAAAAATCGTTATTCAATTAAAATTCTAATTACAAGCTACGTAGGCCTATACAAGACTTGTTTTTGTACCTTGTACAGGCAAGTGTTAGCTTTTCTGTCCACTGAATTGTCAGTGGGAATTGTGTCACCACATTTATAGTTCTGTTAGATGATTGTTTATATACATACATACATCCATACATACATACATACACACACGTATATATATATATATATATATATATATATATATATATATATATATATATATATATATATATATATATATATATATACGAGACAACTGTAGCCATTTTATTAAATGACTTCAACTACCTTGACTTGAACAAACATTTGCCTTTTGAAACACACAAATTGAGGCACCTTTAATCAACACGACCGTCTAAAGTGCACGAGTAGAGCTCACGTTTGTTATCTCTGAGCGCGACGCACGTGAGTTCGCATATGAAAGGCAACATTGTCAAAACCACAGCTCACGGTCCAGTTATGCACGGCGTTAAATGTTGTACTCACCCCGTACAGGAAATGGGGTTTAACTCAGACTTGATACTAGAGGTTGGGGGGGGGGGATTTATGGGCGTAATGGGAGAGGGCTTAGGCGAGTAGATATGGAGTTATGGGGGCGATATTGTAGGGGGAGCTTAGGTGAGTTTACGGGAAATTGTGGTGGTGCTGTTGTGCGAGGCAGCTTAGGTAAGCAGGGAGAGATCTAATTACAACGCATTCACAAAATCTTATCTATAAGCAAAAAAATAACAACTTAATTTTGACATTAAAAATAAATATTAATGTATATTTGCATATAATATATAGCAATCTATTTAATCATTATGGTAAAATTAACTTTAATCTGACACGGCTAACACCCCTGTCTTATTAATGACAGTGAATGCTGGCTAGTTTTACTTTATGACATCATCCCACTCTGTACAGATACTATCTATCCTATATCCCCGCATTAATGTTAAATACATGCATAGTCATATAGGGGTGTGGCAGGTGGCTTATATCTGCCGTTTGAACAATCAATCATGTCAGTAGAGCAGGAATTATTTAAGTCATACAGTCGGTCATATAGTAAAGACAGTCATACAGTCAATTCAGTCATACAGTCAAGTCGGTCATACAGTCACGTCTATCTTGCAGTCAAGTCAATCATACAAGCAAGTCAGTCATACAGTCAAGTAAGTCATACAGGCAAGTCAGTCATACAAGCCAGTCAGTCATACAGTCAAGTAAGTCATACAGTCAAGTTAGTCATACAGTCAATTCAGTCATACAGGTAAGTCAGTCATACAAACAAGTCAGTCATACAGTCATGGCGGTGATACAGTCATGGCAGTTATACAGTCATGGCAGTCATACATTCAAGTAAGTCATACAGGCAAGTCAGTCATATAACGCTTCTTTAGATGATTTATCTTGTCTTGACATCCGTTCGGCCCGAGTGATAAGAGAACTGATTGAGTGGGTGGCCTTTGTAGGGAGGATTTGTTTTGATGGCGCTAGCTAGGCATTGTTTTGGGAGGGGGTGGGTGGGGTAGGTCAGGTAGGTGGGTGGGGTAGGTCAGGTGGGTGGGGTAGGTCAGGTGGGTGGGGTAGGTCAGGTGGGTTGGTGGGGTAGGTCAGGTGGGTGGGGTAGGTCAGGTGGGTGGGTGGGGGTAGGTCAGGTGAATGGGTGGGATTGGTCAGCGGTGGGTGGGGTAGGTCAGGTGGGTGGGTGGGGTAGGTCAAGTGAGTGGGTGGGGTAGATCAGGAGGGTGGGGTAGGTCAGAATGGTGGGTGGGGTAGATCAAGAGGGTGGGTGGGATAGGTCAGGTGGGTGGGTGGGGTAGGTCAGGTGGGTGGGTGGGGTAGGTCAGGTGGGTGGGTGAGGTAGATCAGGAGGGTGGGGTAGGTAGGTGGGTGGGTGGGGTAGGTGAGGTGGGTAGGTGGGGTAGGTCAGGAGGGTGGGTGGGGTAGGTCAGGTGGGTGGGTGGGGTAGGTCAGGTGGGTGGGTGGGGTAGGTCAGGTGGGTGGGTGGGGTAGGTCAGGTGGGTGGGGTAGGTCAGGTGGGTGAGTGAGTGGGGTAGGTCAGGTGGGTGGGGTAGGTCAGGTGGGTGGGTGGGGTAGATCAGGAGGGTGGGTGGGGTAGGTCAGAATGGTGGGTGGATTAGGTCAGGAGGGTGGGTGGGTGGGGTAGGTCAGAATGGTGGGTGGGGTAGGTCAGGTGGGTGGGTGGGGTAGGTCAGAATGGTGGGTGGGGTAGGTCAGGTGGGTGGGTGGGGTAGATCAGGAGGGTGGGTGGGGTAGGTCAGAATGGTGGGTGGATTAGGTCAGGAGGGTGGGTGGGTGGGGTAGGTCAGAATGGTGGGTGGGGTAGGTCAGAATGGTGGGTGGGGTAGGTCAGGAGGGTGGGTGGGTGGGGTAGGTCAGAATGGTGGGTGGGGTAGGTCAGAATGGTGGGTGGGTTAGGTCAGGAGGGTGGGTGGGTGGGGTAAGTTAGAATGGTGGGTGGGGTAGGTCAGAATGGTGGGTGGGGTAGGTCAGGAGGGTGGGTGGGTGGGGTAGGTCAGGTGGGTGGGTGGGGTAGGTCAGGTGGGTGGGTGGGGTAGGTCAGGAGGGTGGGTGGGGTAGGTCAGGTGGGTGGGGTAGGTCAGGTGGGTGAGTGAGTGGGGTAGGTCAGGTGGGTGGGTGGGGTAGGTCAGGTGGATGGGTGGGGTAGATCAGGAGGGTGGGTGGGGTAGGTCAGAATGGTGGGTGGGGTAGGTCAGGAGGGTGGGTGGGGTAGGTCAGAATGGTGGGTGGGGTAGGTCAGGAGGGTGGGTTGGTGGGGTAGGTCAGGTGGGTGGGTGGGGTAGGTCAGGAGGGTGGGTGGGGTAGGTACGGAGAGTGGGTGGAGTAGGTCAGGAGAGTGGGTGGGGTAGGTCAGGAGAGTGGGTGGGGTAGGTCAAGAAGGTGGGTGGGGTAGGTCAGGAGTGTGGGTTGGGTAGGTCAGGAGAGTGGGTGGGGTAGGTCAGGAGAATGGGTGGGGTAGGTCAGGAGAGTGGGTGGGGTAGGTCAGGTGGGTGGGGTAGGTCAGGAGTGTGGGTGGGGTAGGTCAGGAGAGTGGGTGGGGTAGGTCAGGAGAATGGGTGGGGTAGGTCAGGAGAGTGCGTGGGGTAGGTCAGGTGGGTGGGTAGGTCAGGTGGGTGGGTGGGGTAGGTCAGGTGGGTGGGGTAGGTCAGGTGGGTGGGTGGGGTTGGTCAGGAGAGTGGGTGGGGTAGGTCAGGAGGGTGGGTGGGGTAGGTCAGGTGGGTGGGGTAGGTCAGGTGAGTGGGTGGGGTAGGTCAGGTGGGTGGGTGGGGTAGGTCAGAAGGGTGGGTGGGGTAGGTCAGGTGGGTGGGTGGGGTAGGTCAGGAGGGTGGGTGGGGTAGTTCAGGAGGGTGGGTGGGGTAGGTCAGAATGGTGGGTGGGGTAGGTCAGGAGGGTGGGTGGGGTAGATCAGGAGGGTGGGTGGGGTAGATCAAGAGGGTGGGTGGGATAGGTCAGGTGGGTGGGTGGGGTAGGTCAGGTGGGTGGGGTAGGTCAGGTGGGTGGGTGGGGTAGGTCAGGTGGGTAGGTGGGGTAGGTCAGGAGGGTGGGTGGGGTAGGTCAGGAGGGTGGGTGGGGTAGGTCAGGAGGGTGGGTGGGGTAGGTCAGGTGGGTGGGGTAGGTCAGGTGGGTGAGTGGGGTAGGTCAGGTGGGTGGGTGGGGTAGGTCAGAAGGATGGGTGGGGTGGGTCAGGAGGGAGGATGGGGTAAGTCAGGGGGTGGGTGGGGTAGGGTCAGGAGGGTGGGGTTTATTTGTTGGGTGGGGTATACTATTACTTGGGGGTTAGCGCTATGTCCGGTTGTTGGTATATGTGACGTCATGGGGTATGTTAGGTGGGTAGCGAATATCTGGTGGGCGGCGTATGTCAGGTGGTTGTTATGTGTCAGGTTGTTAGGATGTCAAGTGGTTGTGATGTCATGTGGTTGGTATATGTCATTTGGTTGGTATATGTCAGGTTGTTGGTATATGTTATGTGGTTGGTATATGTCAGGTGGTTGCGGACCGCACCGGGTGACACCATTTAGGTGGGTGACACCAAGGCAAAAAATAGCAAAATATATAGAGAAAAACTCGAGGGGGGGATGCAAATCGAAAGTTTGAGGGGGGGGGGGTGCAAATCGAAAACTTGAGGGGGGGTGCAAATCGAAAGTTTGAGTCGGGGGTGCAAATCGAAAACTTGAAAGTTTGTCCCCGGGAAGGGTCTCTATGCCTCTGGGGGGGGGGGGGGTGACACCATTAAGTGCCGCACCGGGTGACACCCGACCTCGCTACACAACTGCATGTGGTTGGTATATGTCAGGTGGTTGGTATATGTCAGGTGGTTGAGATGTCAAGTGGTTGGTATATGTTAGGTGGTTGGCATATATTAGATTGTTGGGATATCGAGATGATTGGCCATGTCAAGTGGTTTTTAATATTTTCAAATGTACACAGTTAATAAAACAGTTACATGACCTTACCATTAAAAAAACCACCACCTCCCCCTCCCCCCAAGCAAACGTATGAAAAGTTTACCTCAGCAAGACACGGCTCTATTCAACAGCTTCACCCTTGTGTCGCCCTAAGCCCAGCCACCCGCTATTTATCTACAGGTCAGATAATCTGGGCCTGACAGAATAACTTGCTAGATCCTCTTTCACTTTATGAAATGTTGCTTTTTATGTATCTAAAAATAGAAACACTGCGCTGTTTAGTGTTGCCTCTTTTGACGTCAAACCGTGTTGATAGTTCCGTTTTTTTTTACTTTTGCATTTTTAAATAACAATTTTAAATATGTCACGTTCAAAATAGGCATTAATATTATTTTAAAATTTCTATTCTTATCCTAATTCCTTTGTTAACTATCATCAAAATTAGTTTATCATATCTCTATTTTATCCAGTTAATAAAACTCAACACTCTATTTTGCAACTATAAAAATTAATCCAAAAACTATTCAACTATTTTTCATTTATATACAGTTTTGTTCCAGGCGACTCTTCCAACGCTCCCTCCCTTTCCCCCCCCCCCCCCTCCCGGAGAAGAAAGTCTGGAAGAAACTCTGTTCATATTTTAATTGATACTTAGTAAAAATAGTAAAGTTAATTTAGTTGATATAGCTTTTCTAGGTCACAAAGTGTTGCAACGTTTTATACGTGAGAAAATTTTTGTTGGCGGATAGACTCAAGTTTCCACTCCTAGTAATAACAAACACAACACAACGTAAAATCTTAAAAATTCTATTTTTTTTGTGTTCGTTCCATTTCCGTCAACCAACACCTTTTATAAACTTATGGCATGTAGTCCGGACGTGTCTCTGACAACATCACCCTCCAATTGACGTCATCACATGTCGGATACGTAAAAAATTATTCTCTCGCAAAATTCCAGGACACAAAAAAGTCAACATTCAGCCGTCAAGGTAAGTTGAGCCATAACTTTTTCGGAAATTACCGGAAAGTTCTTTTCAACTGAGACCGCAGTGAAGATGAATAGGGTCAAATGTTTCTCTGCATTGTCTTCACGGCAGGTAAAAACATGTCCCTTGTCGGTTTTTTTAATGTGATTGACACACCTTGGCCCCGTACACTCAGGTACAATCTATCATTTGATTTGAAATTTCCTGCTCAAAATAAAAACGTGAAAAATGATTTTATCCACTGAACAGTTCAACCTAAAGTAAGGCAGCGTTTCGTATAAATGAAAATATTGTGAGGAAAGTAATTTTATCAATTTTTGTTTTACAGTCCACTTTTGTCCTTACCTTCATAGTGCATCCCACCAGAACCTACCCATCCATTACGTTTTCTAGGTGTAATGTGGATTAAAAATACCCCAAAATTTGCGCCAGCTGGTGTAATATTTTCAAAAATTTACAAGTGAAATAAATAAAAAATAACATGCATAAATATAAAAACATATTTATTTGAAAATGGCGTCATAAATTATTTACATTATTAAAAATAACAAACAAAAACAATGAACAAATGTAACAGTGCAGATAAAATTAAATAGCTTGAATTGTTTCTTTTATAAATCTGTCCCATTTTTCCTGCCAGAGTTTTAGCGCTGTTTCTTTCTCTGTTGGTTCCATGGCGCTGTACCTGAGGAGAGGTTGAAAAGTGAACACAGGTGTATAGATGTACACACAATTTATGGTGAACTGAGGGGTTGGGTAGTGTACACAGTTATATAGATGTATATAGATGTACAGATGTACACACACTTTATGGTGAACTGAGAGAGGGTTGAGTATTGTACACATGATTACAGATGTACACACAATTTATGGCGAACTGAGAAAGGGGTTGGGTACTGTATACAGATGTACAGATGTATCACAATTTCACCTTCTTTTACCATCCTTACATTTATATTAAAAGAAGCTTTTATACAGTAACTCATTACGTCTGTTTATTCGTGTGTTTTGTAACAAGATGGTGTATAATTTGAAACGTATACTTTTCTTCTTCTAATATAGTTATTATTTTTAATTTTAATATCCTTCCCCTCCCGCCCCCCCCCCCCCCCGACAAACAAGCATTACTTCCGGTACTCACTTCAAAGAGTTGATGGCCAGCTGTTTTAAAAAGGTCAGGTCAGCGTCTTCACTGGACATGGCCATGAAGGCGAGGTAGAAGTCGTGGGACAGGGGGGACATGTCGGTGGAGGTGCGGTCATCCGTGCAGATGACCACTGGGTAGCCCTCGGCCATCAGGGCAGTTATGGGGTGGTTTCTCAAGTCATCGACTAGCCTCAACATCTGCAGATAGAACCACGTGACGTCAGCAATGCACGTGACATGAGCTATCATCATTTATTTGTTTGGTTGAGTGTATATTATATATATATATATATATATATATATATATATATATATATATATATATATATATATATATATATATATATATATATATATATATATGTGTGTGTGTGTGTGTGTGTGTGTGTATCAACCGAACTACATATGTATATATATATATATATATATATATATATATATATATATATATATATATATATATATATATATATATATATATATATATAGACACTCCCTTAAGTCGACGCAAGGAGAAGCCGAGATCTCTGTAACCGGAAGTTTAAAGTCTCCTATTCCGCTGTTAACAAATTAGGCAGTGCCAGAATATTTTACAGCATTCTAAAATCTTCAAAAGCCACTCCCTCCCCCCCCCCCCCCCCACCCCACCTGTGACTTATCTTGCAGAAATGTTTTAAAAGGGAGAGTCAGCCTGTGAAAGGATGTGTTAAAACAGGAGCTCTGTGTCCTCCTACGCATCACCCCCACATCTCCCTTCCCAGTCCCCAATCCACCCCATCCCTTTTCAGAGCCAACCCCCTCTTCTTCCCTCTTCAATTTTATAAGCTTATATTTAGTTTACAATGTTTGTTTTTATGTTTGTGTGTTTGTGAAAAGTCTTGTAAACCAGTTTTAACCCACTTCTAATGCAGCGAATTAGTTTCAGATACATTCGTCTCCGAAGACAATGCAAGAATATATAATTTTTTTTTATCTAATAAGACATTAAATTAGTCATTAATATTTAATTAATTTTAGTCGTAGGTGGTGTTGTCTTCATCAAGAACGAATTACTTATTAGAAAATAAATAAATATTTTTAAAAAAACTTAATAAAAATAAGCTTTTAATTTCTCATATCTCTTAAATATATTTAGAGATGCCATTCATTTTTATTGTTTTTGGAATTCTCAGAACATTTGAAGCTAACTATGAAAACGTTTTTTTTTTTCAAAATATGTTTAATCTCCCTTCATCATCCTCCCTTCTCTCACTCCCCTCTTCATCCAATCTCCTTCATCAACCACAAGTTAACCTCCACCTCTAGAGACGGGCTCCACCTCTAGAGCTATGCCCCTCTCCCTCCCTCCCACCCTCCCCTTCCTCCCCTTCCCCAAGTTTACCTGATTAGAGACGGGCTCTACCTCTAGAGCTATGCCCCTCTCCCTCCCCTCCCTCCCTCCACCCCCCCAAGTTTACCTGATTAGAGACGGGCTCCACCTCTAGAGCTATGCCCCTCTCCCTCCCCTCCCCCAAGTTTACCTGATTAGAGACGGGCTCCACCTCTAGAGCTATGCCCCTCTCCCTCCCTCCCTCCTCTCCCTCCCCTCCCTCCCCTCCCCCAAGTTTACCTGATTAGAGACGGGCTCCACCTCTAGAGCTATGCCCCTCTCCCTCCCCTCCCCCAAGTTTACCTGATTAGAGACGGGCTCCACCTCTAGAGCTATGCCCCTCTCCCTCCCTCCCTCCCTCCCCTCCCCCAAGTTTACCTGATTAGAGACGGGCTCCACCTCTAGAGCTATGCCCCTCTCCCTCCCTCCCTCCCCTCCCCCAAGTTTACCTGATTAGAGACGGGCTCCACCTCTAGAGCTATGCCCCTCTCCCCCCCCTCCCCTCCCCCAAGTTTACCTGATTAGAGACGGGCTCCACCTCTAGAGCTATGCCCCTCTCCCCCCCTCCCCTCCCCCAAGTTTACCTGATTAGAGACGGGCTCCACCTCTAGAGCTATGCCCCTCTCCCTCCCCCTCCCCCCCCCAAGTTTACCTGATTAGAGACGGGCTCCACCTCTAGAGCTATGCCCCTCTCCCTCCCTCCCTCCCCTCCCTCCCCCCCCCCAAGTTTACCTGATTAGAGACGGGCTCCACCTCTAGAGCTATGCCCCTCTCCCTCCCTCCCCCACCCCAAGTTTACCTGATTAGAGACGGGCTCCACCTCTAGAGCTATGCCCCTCTCCCTCCCTCCCTCCCCCCCCCCCAAGTTTACCTGATTAGAGACGGGCTCCACCTCTAGAGCTATGCCCCTCTCCCTCCCTCCCTCCCCTCCCCCAAGTTTACCTGATTAGAGACGGGCTCCACCTCTAGAGCTATGCCCCTCTCCCTCCCTCCCTCCCCTCCCTCCCTCCCTCCCCCAAGTTTACCTGATTAGAGACGGGCTCCACCTCTAGAGCTATGCCCCTCTCCCCCCCTCCCCTCCCCCAAGTTTACCTGATTAGAGACGGGCTCCACCTCTAGAGCTATGCCCCTTCCTCTCCCTCCCCTCCCTCCCCCCCCCAAGTTTACCTGATTAGAGACGGGCTCCACCTCTAGAGCTATGCCCCTCTCCCTCCCTCCCTCCCCCCCCCCAAGTTTACCTGATTAGAGACGGGCTCCACCTCTAGAGCTATGCCCCTCTCCCTCCCTCCCTCCCCCCCCCCCAAGTTTACCTGATTAGAGACGGGCTCCACCTCTAGAGCTATGCCCCTCTCCCTCCCTCCCTCCCCTCCCCCAAGTTTACCTGATTAGAGACGGGCTCCACCTCTAGAGCTATGCCCCTCTCCCTCCCTCCCTCCCCTCCCTCCCTCCCTCCCCCAAGTTTACCTGATTAGAGACGGGCTCCACCTCTAGAGCTATGCCCCTCTCCCCCCTCCCCTCCCCCGTTTACCTGATTAGAGACGGGCTCCACCTCTAGAGCTATGCCCCTCTCCCTCCCTCCCCTCCCTCCCTCCCTCCCCCAAGTTTACCTGATTAGAGACGGGCTCCACCTCTAGAGCTATGCCCCTCTCCCTCCCCTCCCTCCCTCCCTCCCCCAAGTTTACCTGATTAGAGACGGGCTCCACCTCTAGAGCTATGCCCCTCTCCCTCCCTCCCTCCCTCCCTCCCCCAAGTTTACCTGATTAGAGACGGGCTCCACCTCTAGAGCTATGCCCCTTCCTCTCCCTCCCCTCCCTCCCCTCCACCAAGTTTACCTGATTAGAGACGGGCTCCACCTCTAGAGCTATGCCCCTCTCCCTCCCTCCCTCCCCCCCCCCCCAAGTTTACCTGATTAGAGACGGGCTCCACCTCTAGAGCTATGCCCCTCTCCCTCCCTCCCTCCCCTCCCCCAAGTTTACCTGATTAGAGACGGGCTCCACCTCTAGAGCTATGCCCCTTCCTCTCCCTCCCCTCCCCCCACCCAAGTTTACCTGATTAGAGACGGGCTCCACCTCTAGAGCTATGCCCCTCTCCCTCCCTCCCCCACCCCAAGTTTACCTGATTAGAGACGGGCTCCACCTCTAGAGCTATGCCCCTCTCCCTCCCTCCCTCCCCCCCCCAAGTTTACCTGATTAGAGACGGGCTCCACCTCTAGAGCTATGCCCCTCTCCCTCCCTCCCTCCCCTCCCCCAAGTTTACCTGATTAGAGACGGGCTCCACCTCTAGAGCTATGCCCCTCTCCCTCCCTCCCTCCCCTCCCTCCCTCCCTCCCCCAAGTTTACCTGATTAGAGACGGGCTCCACCTCTAGAGCTATGCCCCTCTCCCCCCTCCCCTCCCCCGTTTACCTGATTAGAGACGGGCTCCACCTCTAGAGCTATGCCCCTCTCCCTCCCTCCCTCCCCCAAGTTTACCTGATTAGAGACGGGCTCCACCTCTAGAGCTATGCCCCTCTCCCTCCCTCCCTCCCTCCCTCCCCCAAGTTTACCTGATTAGAGACGGGCTCCACCTCTAGAGCTATGCCCCTCTCCCTCCCCTCCACCAAGTTTACCTGATTAGAGACGGGCTCCACCTCTAGAGCTATGCCCCTCTCCCTCCCTCCCTCCCCCCCCCCCAAGTTTACCTGATTAGAGACGGGCTCCACCTCTAGAGCTATGCCCCTCTCCCTCCCTCCCTCCCTCCCCTCCCCCCAAGTTTACCTGATTAGAGACGGGCTCCACCTCTAGAGCTATGCCCCTTCCTCTCCCTCCCCTCCCCCAAGTTTACCTGATTAGAGACGGGCTCCACCTCTAGAGCTATGCCCCTCTCCCTCCCTCCCTCCCCTCCCTCCCCTCCCCCAAGTTTACCTGATTAGAGACGGGCTCCCCCTCTAGAGCTATGCCCCTCTCCCTCCCTCCCCTCCCTCCCTCCCCCAAGTTTACCTGATTAGAGACGGGCTCCACCTCTAGAGCTATGCCCCTCTCCCTCCCTCCCCTCCCTCCCTCCCTCCCCCAAGTTTACCTGATTAGAGACGGGCTCCACCTCTAGAGCTATGCCCCTCTCCCTCCCTCCCTCCCACAAGTTTACCTGATTAGAGACGGGCTCCACCTCTAGAGCTATGCCCCTCTCCCTCCCTCCCTCCCTCCCTCCTTCCCCCAAGTTTACCTGATTAGAGACGGGCTCCACCTCTAGAGCTATGCCCCTCTCCCTCCCTCCCTCCCTCCCACAAGTTTACCTGATTAGAGACGGGCTCCACCTCTAGAGCTATGCCCCTCTCCCTCCCTCCCTCCCTCCCTCCTTCCCCCAAGTTTACCTGATTAGAGACGGGCTCCACCTCTAGAGCTATGCCCCTCTCCCTCCCACCCTCCCCTCCCCCAAGTTTACCTGATTAGAGACGGGCTCCACCTCTAGAGCTATGCCACTCTCCCTCCCTCCCCTCCCTCCCTCCCTCCCCCAAGTTTACCTGATTAGAGACGGGCTCCACCTCTAGAGCTATGCCCCTCTCCCTCCCTCCCTCCCTCCCCTCCCCCAAGTTTACCTGATTAGAGACGGGCTCCACCTCTAGAGCTATGCCCCTCTCCCTCCCTCCCCTCCCTCCCTCCCTCCCCCAAGTTTACCTGATTAGAGACGGGCTCCACCTCTAGAGCTATGCCCCTCTCCCTCCCTCCCCTCCCTCCCTCCCCCAAGTTTACCTGATTAGAGACGGGCTCCACCTCTAGAGCTATGCCCCTCTCCCTCCCTCCCCTCCCTCACCCCCCCCCCCCCAAGTTTACCTGATTAGAGACGGGCTCCACCTCTAGAGCTATGCCCCTCTCCCTCCCTCCCCTCCCTCCCTCCCTCCCCCAAGTTTACCTGATTAGAGACGGGCTCCACCTCTAGAGCTATGCCCCTCTCCCTCCCCCTCCCCCAAGTTTACCTGATTAGAGACGGGCTCCACCTCTAGAGCTATGCCCCTCTCCCTCCCTCCCTCCCCTCCCTCCCTCCCCCCCCCCCCCAAGTTTACCTGATTAGAGACGGGCTCCACCTCTAGAGCTATGCCCCTCTCCCTCCCCCCCCCCAAGTTTACCTGAATAGAGACGGGCTCCACCTCTAGAGCTATGCCCCTCTCCCTCCCTCCCTCCCTCCCTCCCCCCCCTTTAGTTTACCTGATTAGAGACGGGCTCCACCTCTAGAGCTATGCCCCTCTCCCTCCCCTCCCCCAAGTTTACCTGATTAGAGACGGGCTCCACCTCTAGAGCTATGCCCCTCCCCCCCCCCCCCCCAAGTTTACCTGATTAGAGACGGGCTCCACCTCTAGAGCTATGCCGCTCTCCCTCCCCTCCCCCAAGTTTACCTGATTAGAGACGGGTTCCACCTCTAGAGCTATGCCACTCTCCCTCCCTCCCCTCCCTCCCTCCCTCCCCCAAGTTTACCTGATTAGAGACGGGCTCCACCTCTAGAGCTATGCCCCTCTCCCTCCCTCCCTCCCCCCCCCCCCAAGTTTACCTGATTAGAGACGGGCTCCACCTCTAGAGCTATGCCCCTCTCCCCCCCTCCCTCCCCCCCTCCCCCCCCCCGAAGTTTACCTGATTAGAGACGGGTTCCACCTCTAGAGCTATGCCCCTCTCCCTCCCTCCCTCCCCCCCTCCCCCCCCCCAAGTTTACCTGATTAGAGACGGGTTCCACCTCTAGAGCTATGCCCCTCTCCCCACCTCCCTCCCCCCTCCCCCCCCCCAAGTTTACCTGATTAGAGACGGGTTCCACCTCTAGAGCTATGCCCCTCTCCCCCCCCCCTCCCTCCCCCCCTCCCCCCCCCAAGTTTACCTGATTAGAGACGGGCTCCACCTCTAGAGCTATGCCCCTTCCTCTCCCTCCCCTCCCTCCCCTCCCCCAAGTTTACCTGATTAGAGACGGGCTCCACCTCTAGAGCTATGCCCCTCTCCCTGACCATCTGAGCCAGCCTCGGGTGTTTGGGCAGGGCGAACCCGTGACCTATGCGTGTTGTGTTCAGTAGCAGGGCGTCCACCAAGTTGTAGTCGGCGGCTGTACCCTGCCAGTCTGGTGAGTGTCAAGTTTTAAAGATTAGCCGTACCCTGCCAGTCTGGTGAGTGTCAAGTTTTAAAGATTAGCCGTACCCTGCCAGTCTGGTGAGTGTCAAGTTTTAAAGATTAGCCGTACCCTGCCAGTCTGGTGAGTGTCAAGTTTTAAAGATTAGCCGTACCCTGAATATATGTCAAATGTCAAGTTTGTAAAGTAAGCCGTACTCTGTCAAACTATCGAATATCAAGTCGTGTCATATCACATGTCACATTATTACACTAGCTGTCACTGTCACTGTCAATGTCACTCAATTAAACCAGTTTAACTCAGTCAAATTTCAGCTAAACAGATCAGCCGTACCCTCTCAAATGTCATCATTATGATTTTAGACCAGCAGCTACCCAGTTACTAAAAAAAAAACATTCACTATACCATTTCCTACTGCAAATGGTTGCGAGGTGGTTGTAAATTTGGTTAAAAGTGGTTGTCAACTTACTGGTTTCCCCAGCATGGAAGAAGTAGGGCAGGTTGTAGGGTGGCTCCTGTCTTGACGGGTACAGTAGAGCTTCAGTAAAGTAGGCCAATGGCTTATAGGCGGCCTCGTTCCCACCCAGGTCGTAACCAATGAAAACATCGGGATATTTTTTGTGCAGATTTATTGAGGTTTTTACCTGACCCAACACAACAGCTAGGTCTTGATTCCTGGGGGCGGAAGTAAATAAAGTGGAATTTATACAACATATATATATATATATATATATATATATATATATATATATATATATATATATATATATATATATATATATATATATATACTTCTTTACAACACATATAACCAGTTTTCTTCCGGACTTTTTTTTTCAGGGGGGGGGGGGCACTTGAAATTTTTCGGGAGGGGGGCGCACTTAAATTTCCAGGGAGTGGACACGGTTAAAAGTGTATATTTTCTTTATAAATTCCATTTCGTTTAAGGGGAAGTTGGACTTTTTTTTTGGGGGGGGGGGGGGGAGGAAGATATGCCTGGAAGAAACTCTGCATATAATATATACGTTTTTCTCTCCCATTCATAAGTATTTCATGTACTAAAATGATAGGTCACTTAGTGCAGTGTAGTATAGCGTATGTATCCGCTTCCAACAGTGACATAAACTAATTAATTTAATTAAGTGCTGAAAGTGTACAGGTGTTAATTTCACCAACTGCTCAGGTACCGATAGGACAACCATATATATACGTGAACTTTGACCTGCATTGATTTCCTGTCCCTTCTAACATGAAGTCGTTTCCGGTCATAAATTATTTTAAGAGCTCCCGACAATTTCGTTATAATATCAACTCTCAAGGTATTTGGTTACGGAAATAGATTGTGTTGTATTAGCACGTTTTATTCTAGAGGACCTACGTATTAACAAAATGCCCTTCCTATGCCGATCTTATTTTAGTATCGAATTACTTTACACTTAGTACATTGTTTATGGAAAAGTCCGATTTTTAAAACAAATTGAGGGTTTAAAAAATCGGAATTTTTCTGTTTTTTTTTTTTTTTTTGTAAAATATTTTTAGGAGCCTCACTAGCCTGGCGTGGGGGTGCGTTTTGCACCGGGTGACACCATTTACGAGGTGACACCAAATCGAAAATGCTTACATTTTTTAGGGATGGAACTACACCCTGAGTTTTCGTATCCGGTGATACCCGACCCAGTGACGTCACCGAATCAGTTAGTATCATAGTAAAACATTTGAATGAATATTGTCGTCAACTGACCTAATACCACAGAATATAATTTTAGCACCACTGAAGTCCGGGTACCGTTTAACAAAGTCTTGGACAATCTGCCGGACAAGCTGCACCCCAAACTCGGCGTTGTAGACGGTACCATTGAGCTCATACAGCTGGGGAAAACAAAGGTCCAAGGTAAAATCTCTAGCAATCCTGTAGGCTTATACAGTAGACGAGAAACAGAAAAAATAAGAGCTCTACTACCTATCTTAGTTTGTATATGTGTCTTTACACTTAATGGGACAGGAATTTATTTTTCTTTTCAGGGATGAATGTTATATGCTAGGATTATTTATTTACAGATGTTTGTTTACATTTTTAGTATACAGACAAGGAGAAAATTAATTAGCATAAAATGAGAACCTACCCCACTCTCCCCCACACCTTATGAACAAATAACCCACTCTCCCCTCACACCTAATGAACACCTACCTCACTCTCCCCTCACACCTAATGAACAAATAACCCACTCTCCCCCACACCTAAAGAACACATACCCCACTGAAATCTCCCCTCACTTCCACGTACTGTATATTCCCTTCCCTAAACACCTACCCCACTTTTCCCTCACACCAAATGAACACATACCCCACTGAAATCTCCCCTCACACCTAATGAACACCTACCCCCACCCTCCCCTCACACCAAATGAACACCTACCCCACCCTCCCCCACACCTAATAAACACCTACCCCACTGAAATCTCCCCTCACTTCCACGTACTGTACATTTCCCTCCCTGAACTCCTCCAACGTCCTCCAGAACATGTCTCTGTATACTGGCAGATAGGTCATCATGGCGTAGATCTGTGGACATGCAAACGCCCACATACATTTATTCATATATACATATATATATATATATATATATATATATATATATATATATATATATATATATATATATATATATATATATATATATATATATATGAATGTGCAGTAATAGAGTAATTGGCTAGCCCAGATTTAGACCAACAAGCCAACACTTACCTGGCCAAAAAATCGACTAAATCTTGACCAAGCTGCCTGGTTGTCAGCGAAGGCTAAAAATGGATCTTGTACCAGGAGACTTATATTGTTCTTTAAACTGTCAATATGGATGTAAAAGCTCTTCAACGGCTTGTTTTAGCATTTACATGCAATATTTAATGTTGCTAACAGGTAATAAGAGATTAACCAATATATTATTGTGGAAGGATTAAACAGTAATCTAGCTGCAGGCTGTTAAACCTGGATTTTTTTATGAATTATAAAAACATAACTTTTGGTAGATGAATTCATACAAATGTTTACTTGGAATAATCCACAAAATCACTTGTTACACTTTTAAATATCTTCTAGTTAGCTAAACCAGTAATTAACCTTTAACCTTTGATTACCTTAGATCAAAAGCCTTAACGTCTGAAGCTGCGGCTCTCTCAGCCTGTACAGATTTCCACTGGCAGTCTGAAAATATTTCAAAATCTTTTGTTTATCAGATTTGGACTCGAAACCGATCTGATATTTGTAATGGTTTTGCATCAAAATATTTACTCTCGCCGCTGTGATATTTTAAACCAAAACCTTCATGAAAATAGTGCACAGTTTGTTCTACATGAGAACGCGTTCTATCTGCAATTTGCTGTACCAAACCAATTAACAGTGTGGCTTTAAAAAAGACTTTGTTGGATTTTTTAAACTTTGTTTAATGCGGCATAGAGTACAAGCTTTAGGTTAACCACTAGGCGTTGGGAAACATGAAAAGTGAAAATATGAGTCATTTAAAATCCTGTTTTTTTTTACATAGTTGACCTACTCAGCTGGTAATAAAACATACACTAAAACTGTTTTATTGCTAATTGCATTAACCTCACTGCAGCTTCCATTTGTATTTACCTACTCATCTGGGGATTATCAAACAGTTTACCTACAAAGTTAATCCGGCAACCCGGGTTAAGGAGTTAACTTAGATATCCTAAGATTATTAAAGAGTTAAAACAGCTACGCTGGGATTAATTCAGTTTGGTGAACTCCTGGAGTAAATTAGTTGAAAACTGATTGTCCTAATGTATAAACTGCTAAGTACATTGTTCCCTACCTGAGCCAACAGCCGAGGCGTTGAAAAATTTGAACCTGCAGAGTTGACCTTGCCATTGGCACATGTACAGGTTGTCCCTGTAGGTCACGTTTTTAATGATCCAATCAGGGCTGACCATTGATTGGTCGTGGAGATGCAGCGCCGCACCTGGAATAAATTAGTGAGATCTAGTCACGTGAGAGTCACGTTTTTAACTATCCAATCAGGACTGACCATTGATTGGTCGTGGAGATGCAGCGCCGTACCTGGAATAAATTAGTGAGATCAGGTCACGTGAGAGTCACGTGAGAGTCACGGGATGTGTAGTAGCAGAGATAACGGAATACAACTAGAATAATTAGAGCGGATTTGGGAAAGTGGATGTCTAGATTAGGGGATTGACTTGAGGGAAAGATTGGCTGAAAGATTGGTGAATACATTGTAGAGTGGGTTAATAAGTAAACATTTTGATTTGGATTGGGCTATAAAATAAATAAAATGCAATGAGTTATAGTATATACTTTGGTTTGGTTTTAGGGTAAAAAGTTTAATTTGTGCTAGGAAATAAAATTTACTTTGGGTTAGGGACTATATTTTAGTTTGGGGTAGGGTATAACTATAACTTCGATTTGGGCTAAGGTATAAACTACAGTTAGCGTTAAGGTAAACATTTTAGTTTTGGTTAAGGTATACACTTAAATTTGTGTTAGGGTATACATCTTAGTTTGGATTAGGGTATTAACTTAAGTTTTAGTTAAGAAATAAACTGTAGGATACGTTAGAGAATAAACTGTGGGCTGTGTTATGGCGTGGACTCCAGAGTTGAC